ACTCCACCCTGGTCAGTTCTCTAAGGACCCAAAAGCAAGGTGATACCCGAGATTTATTCATCAGGGTATTGTTAGTAGACTTAAAACACAAAGACTTCTGAAAAAGCATAAAATGGAAGAACATGCATTACTACAAACAGAATTGGCTTGCTTTTTCATGTATCCAGCTACTTCTAACTATGGGAAATCTTGTTCTCTGGAAAGACACCAAAGGCAAGATTTAGAGGTATTGCTCATGAGGAATTGTGATGGCAAGGATGGGGAAAGGTTGCATAACCCCACAGGTCTGCTTTGTTCTTTCTAGTATAGCCCTCAAACAGTTTGAAATTATATTACTTTACTGTTTAAACCAATTAAATAGTAACTGATGGGTTTTCCTGGTTTTTAAGGTTTTGTAAAGTCATGGACAGCTACCATGCAAAAGATAGCTTACTTGCAATTTGGGACTGCCCACTACAAATATTTTGGGTGTAGTTCTCTAACAAATATCAGAACAGATTTCTTTCTGTACCTTATACAGATATTTACAGACTAAAGAGGCATGCTTATACAAAGTGGAATGTTTAAATAATTACTGCTTTGTCCTGTAAGCTTTTTGTAGTTGTTTCCCTCTCAAAGAAGAAAAAAGAGCCTAATCAACAAGTCTAACTCTTAAAATGCATGGTCTAATATCATTTTACTCCTCTTCTTGCATGAGTGATACTACAAAAAATTTGTCTTTTCTGTGTTCAGAATGTGACCCAGAACCTAAATCCTTTGTCTTTTTGTTGGTTTGTGATTTGTTGTTATGTTTGCAGCAAATAGAATTGAGATAAAAGTAATCAAATCTCTCTTCCCTTTCAACTTCTCCACTTATTTGGTATTTTGGTATCCCATTTGCTGAAGGGAGGTTTCAGAAGTTAATTTGTTGATAAAGTGTGGTAATATCAGGATTTTAAAAGGCTTTGTTTTGGTATTGGACTCTAAGGTGCTTTTTCCATATGTTCAGATTAGGGTGTGTGGGACAATAATGAATCTATCTTTGAGGTAAACACAGACCTTGATTTAAATCCTCCTTCATTCATCATGAGGAGTCCCAGAATATGCTGGCACCACACAGATTTTCCAGTCTGAAAAGCTCAGCTTAAGCTGTCAATTGAGGTGTAAGGCAATCAAATATTGAGGTGTCAGTAGTCACATCTTGCAAATTCTATGGTGACTTGTAATGTAGACTGTGAATAAGGTGGGTGCTGGGGAGAGAATTGAGACACTGAGGAATGTAGATGAAGAGTTTTAGATACAGTTATGTATTGGTAGATACCCTTTTTTTGAAAACAGGGATGAATTGTTACCTCTTTGCTCATGCAATGACCTATTACAGTAGCCTACAAAGCACAGGATAAACCATTCTGGATTTGGTGATAAGAAGGTTGTCAGGGACTGATTATATCAGAGCAGATTTCCTGCCTTACAGTGATACCATATGATCTGGCCCATTTTCAGATGTTCCAGAGGTGAAGAGGAACAACCCAATTAATCCATGTATAGATTTTCTGTTTGCCTGCACAGTGGTGGACAGTTGGTTTGTATTCCTGTTCAGTGCAATCTGCATGTACTTACTGCCCTAGGGGAGATGACAAATTTTCCATCTTGCCACAAAACATGTTTCACTTTGGCATAGTGGAAACATCATATTAAATGATGGGGGCAAAGTCTTATTCAGTCCAAAATCCTCTATTAAATTTCCTTTTAACTATGTACCTTTACTTTCTTGAGTTTAAAGTTCCTATTGGAGAAATGGGCATTAGCTTCCCTATAACTTTAGGCTGTTACCCCTTGAAAAACGGTAGCATAAACTAACTGGCATTTTAACAGAGCACAGAGGGACTCCAGAATACATACTTGCATCACACATAAAGGTCTTGCTGCATTTTCTCCTAATTGCAAACTTGGCAACTGAGCCCACAATCTGATTCTTAATCTGGATATCTACCAGTTCTTTGATCACCAAGAGAAAAATTTAATGGCAACTTGGTCAGCCTCTTTGTTAACTGGGGAGCTGGTGTAGAATCAGTTGTTGGCTTCTAGTCCTGTTGTAGTTTGCTGGGAGGCTGATGTAGCTGTGGAAAACCATTGCTGCAGTCTGATTCTCCACAGTTGCTTTCAAGGTAAACCACAATCTATGTCTAATTCCTAGCAGTCAAACAAGCCTACATAGTGCAAGCAGTTTGATGTTACTGCTAAGATCTCTTAACAAATCTTGAGAATTCCAGGAGCATTAAAAAAATTCTCATTTGTTGCAAAAACAGTCACATGCATTACAAGTCTGTATGTATTGGTGAATACAGGAGGCTTAAAAATCTTTTTGTTGTCAAGACCTAGAACTAATTCTCTTCTGATAATGGAAATCTATTTTTTTTTATGGCTGGAGAATGCCTAGAAATAGCCTTAATATTTATGTTGCTCTTGTTTCCTCAAAAACAATGGGACTGACAGGCTAAACACCTCTCTTGAAAAGGCAAGTAAGACAAGCTTACTTCGAGGTGAGATAGTAAAAGTCTGTTTAAGCCAGCTGCTGTCAGCATCTGTCAGTTCTCACCATACAGACCCTGTCAGGCAGGCAGGTCATTTGTAAAGGAAGTGCTGTGAAAATTGAGAGCACTTTTATACCTTTGTTAGCAAGCATAATACATTAATTCCCAAAATCCAGAAGGTCTGTTGAGCTGGTGGAGTTAAGGTACACTAGCTCTCATAGGCAGCAAGCAGAAGTGGGAGCAGGGTGCTTTCACTTCCAGAAAAAATGAGAGCTGCATTGGCCAGGGGCATTTATTGAGTCTACACCTGTGACAAATCCATGCCTCTGTCTCTGTCTGGTTACAGTTAACTGTCCACAGATCTGAGAGTCCTGCAGGCAGGTAAGCAGGCTGCAACAGCTGAGAAGCCTGGGATCCTGTCCCCTTCCACAGCCCAGCTGAGCTTCCTCTGCTCTGAGCTGGCTTGTAAAGGTTTCCAGCCACACCCCAGTTTCAGTGACTGAATACCAAGGGGAGAGGGGTGAGCAGTGTCTGGGGTAGAAGGATTGAATCAAACAGGGTGAGGACACTGAATACTTGTCCTGTGACTCAGTACCCTCCCTCTAGAGAACCTCCCTTGGCATATGTTATCATACTGTCCCAGAGCACTTGGTGCCCTGGAGGCTGTACAAACAGCTGAAAAGCCAGTCCCTTGCCCTAAGGGACATCACTTCTGAGAAGACAAATAACACGTGTGAAAGGTGAAAGGGAGAAGCAGCCACCTGTGTAAAAAAATTGTGTTCTACATTTCCATTCTTCCTGTTGGCTGCATTTATAAACTGAGTAATATATTTGCTGGAGGGCAAAGGGAAGCTACTGCTGTGTTCCTGCTTCAACTTAGAACACATGCTTAGGAAAGGTATTTAGTTTGGCCCTTAGAGAAGCACAGAGGGAGGGAGAAATTTTTAATGACCCAGTAATACTATGGACTGTTGTTAAAAATGCCAATGATGACCTCAACATCTAGCAGCCTAAACTGTATGTAGTAGATTTGAGGCACCCCTAGTAGGGACTGATTTTTGACAGCACTTTCAAAATGAAGTTTTAAGTATTCAAATTGTAGTATACCTGTTGCATTCAAATAAGACATTTCATATCTGGCCATACAAAGATGAAAGAGAAGTTGATTGACAGATGAGAATGATCTATCTTAGTTTGAGGGCTGGGACTAGCTCAGTGTCCTTTCTCTGCTGTGAATGACTCTTTGTATGTGACAATCAAATCTGCAAACTATAATTAAAGGGCTGTTATCAGAGTTAATTGATTATACCAGAAGATCTGTCCCCTAAACCCATGAGAAATGTCATACTGTGGTGAACTTCCCTGGGGTTAGGCTAGATGATTTTTAAGGTCCCTCCCAACCCAAACCATTGTCCATCAGGCCTGTTAAAGACAGCACCATTCCACAGCAATGTGGACTGTGCTTACCCTTCAAGTCTCAGCAAATGGACCTGATTTGATTTCTCCCTTGGGCTCTGTTAGCTTATTTTGCTGAAGGAAAGGAAATAAACGGAGAAGGAAGATGAAGCACGACTTGACTTTTTATTGTTTACGTGCTCTCTAAATCTGTGAGGTAACTTCCCGGATCTGCAGGTTAGTCTCCAGGCTATGTGTAAGCATATGCCTAATATCTTACATGCCTAACAAGGAAAAAAAAACAACCAACCTCTCAAATTGCCCACAGCAAGTACTTATTCTGTTAAAGTGTGCCTCATAAAAGCAGGAAAACCCTGAAGCCTGAAAACAAATTATTAAAAATTTGTCTCCCAGTTTTTAAAATGTCTGCAGTTCATGTGATGGATATATAGAGATTAATAAAATAAATAGCAAAAACTTATTTTCTTGCATGTGATGATGTTTTACTCTGTAACTCATTGTATTCATATAAGGAATTTTGTGTAATTTATGGAAAAAATGGCACCATGCTTCCAGTACACATTTGGACTGTGTGTGTAAAAGCAGTGCCAAAAAAACCCTGAAGAGGCATCTTCTGAGCCTCAAAATACCCATGCTCTTAATTTTGCTAGAGACTTTTTATGCTGTTCTACTAGCTTATCTCAATTTTAATCTTGGAAAACTGGCCTTTGAAGGTGGGAAGTGAAAATCTGCAGTTGCTGGAGACTTCTCTAGTGCTTGAGTGTTTAACATAGCAAAGCTGTTTGTTTTATTTTTTTAAAGAGTTACCCTCAGAGCATAGGTTGAAGTAATAAGGCTGAGGCTCTTCCCTTTCCAGCTCATTGTCATTATTCAGAATTAAATAAGGAGCATAACGGGTGAGAAGATGGAAATAGCATGTGGAGACAGTGTTAAAAAAATCAACAAACAAAACACAGCCCTGCTCTCCAAAACAAAAAACAAGCCACCAAAAAAATCTCTTTTCTTCCTGTTCACATAGGTAAGTATGTGAAGTATGTTTATATCTCATTTATTCATTTTCCTCTTCCTCAGGCATTTACCAGAAAAAGTCAAAGACCATGTTCAGCTGAAGAATATGAGTGGGCAGTGGTTTTATGAGGCCAAGTCGAAGAGGCACAGGGATAAGATCCATGGAGCAGATATTATCAGAGCTTCCATGCGCAGGAAACCTGCCACCATTGGTAAGCATTTGGAAATTTGTTTTGGAACTTTATTTTGGAAAGGTTGCCTCTTACTTTGCTAACCTCAGACAATGTTGTCTGTGAAACACATGAATACTGGTCTCTCTGCAAGTGGAAAGTGATGCAAAAAAGAGACTCCCCATGTAATTAACAGTGGAAGCTTTCCTCTCCCGCAGTGCCATGTATTAAAGAGCCATGACTGCTAACAGAAGGGACTGGCTTGTATTTATGTGTAGGATTAAAAGCTCTCTGCACTCCTAGACTTATTCTCATTCCCATTTCTGAGGCTCATAAATAAATATATAAATATATAAATATATTTATAAATATTCATAAATAACCCTATGAGTTGTTTAGGGGCATGCAAAGAAGAGATTGAAAAAAATGCTCTCTAACATGAATTTCCAAGATTTTGGTGCTTGGTTTGAGACCTTTGAGGCTGAATGGCAGGCATCACAAGCTAGAGATAGTGGTTATAACTAACTGAAATATATGTGCTGAAAGCTCTGGTAGCTGTGACTGGCATCCTGGGTCCCAGTGAGCTTTAAGTGCACCCATAATCCCCATGCCATGGTGGGTGCCCTGATCACCAGTAACTTTTATCCCGTGGAGGGAAGGAGTGAACAGTGAATCTGTATTCACAAAAGCATATTATGTTAATATCCAGGATTTCATAGACCTCCCGTTATAAATCTCTCAGCATATGACTTTTAATCTAAAGTGTCCTGGTCTACTTTATCATTCTTTGTATAGAAAGTGATTTTTTTTTTCTTAGTGGAACAGAGCTACATCCCCTTTTTACCTCCTCAAGTTCTGCTGAGTCCTTTTGATTTAGAAGGGCAAGACTTACGTTATTCTTACCAAATTGTACTGATATTTGTACTATTTAGTTTTTTTGGTTCTGTCAAGTGATTTTGAAATGTGCTAGTGAAGCAAGTAAGGTCCTTCCTTCTATACTGTGAATGAACTAGAGTTTGTTGCTTTCTATGGGTTTTGTAACTACAAGTCAGTCTTGTTTTCCTCTGACTAACCCTGTAGTACTGCACCTTCTCAATTTCTATATTTTCACAGATGATTTTGAATAATGTGAGTTTAGTCAGTTTGAGGTTACTGCTTTGAGTTTTTAAGTTAAAAAGAAAAAGCAGAAAACAATGCAGAAAAAAAAAACCCCATAGGTGGTTAGTGTGGTGCGTTTGTCATTTTGGCTGGTTTTGTGCGTAAATGTTATGAAAATCAGCTGTAAAGTTGCAGCTAAATTTCACAGTAACTTGTATCTTAAAGGAAAGTACTAAAAGCCATACCATCTTAAAGGAAAGTTAATTAATCCCAATCTTGTTACTTAAACAAAGGGACATGTTGGCACATTCAGAACTATGTACAATTGCTTGGTTTCAATGACTCATGAGATGGCAAGATACTTTTCCTTGCAGTTATAGATAGCAAAAATATGAATAAAAATCTTGCTTACTTTTGTACATTAAGAAATTCTTCACTTCTAAACTGTTGGTGAAGTGGAAAAAGCATTAGAGGAAATAATGGAATGTTTTTGCTCTGAAAGGGATTATCAGAATAGGATTTTGTTCCACCCTAGAAAGAAATGCAAATGTATTTGCATTGCTGAGTGAGGCGGGGCTTTTTGTTTGTTTGGGGTTTTTATGTTACCTTTTTAACATCTTGTGGTAATTCTGTTCATAAAGGATTAGCCACCTGCCTAAGTGAGTTACGACAAACCTCCAGTTTAATGCTTAAAAAGGGAAAAATTGAATTGATTTCAACATATTTTCAGTTTCCTCTGGTTTAATAATTTTTTCCTTCCTCAGGAGACTGAGGATGAACTTTCAGTATTTGTCTAACTGCAAGATCAGCCTTACCAGGGTTCTTGTAGAAAACTCCTCAATTTAGGATCACTTTAAGGTTAAAACCAGGTATATCTGGTAAAATGAAGTATTCAGAACAGTATTTGACATTTTTGTAGCATTAAAAAGGCGCTTGTAAGAGGGCACCAGATGTGCTTCTGAAAACAATTCAAGTATAGTGGGCTTTAGAAATAGCTGTAGGCCTAAATGAAAATACTTATACTTCTTTCTTAAGAAATCCTGTATGAACATGTGGGAAACAACAATATTCTTGCTTCATGTTTTAGCTGAAGTGGGTCAGAACAAAACGAGCAAAGCAAAGATCAGCTGGGTGAACAATGTTAACAAAGAAGTGTTTGTGCCACCAGATCTACATGGCATTGAGGAGCATCAAGAAGAAGAACAACAGAAAACTAGTTGGAGGTAAACTGTCTGTTTACATGCTTAGAATGTGCATATATATATATATATATATATATATGGACTAATGAAACTTGGGAGCTGTAAGTTCCATCCAAAATATTGTACTTATCTCTTATTTCAAACGTCACCAAATGTTCCCTTAGAATTATACAAGAAAGCTGTGCATGTGACAGACACATAGTCATGTACTGTTCTGCATTTGAGTATAGAACAATTAGTAATCTTCAGCTTGCCTTTCTCAGAAAAAGTTGACAACCAAACATAGAATAGTTGCACACATGTTTTCATGTCACAATTTATTTTCATTCCTTGAAGTGAGACCTGGATTTTCTAGTTAGAATGGCTGGCCATGAGCAGATGGGGTTTAATGGTTTAATAATGAATGGTTTAATAAAAACTATTATATCAAATCGGCCTGAATTTTAAACTTGGATTACAGCATTATTGAGGTTAGAAAAACCTGTAAAATCATCAAGTCCAGCCATTAACCCAGTACTGCCAATGCCACCACAAAACCACATTCCCAAGTGCCACATCCACGTTTTGAACGCTTCATATCACATGAAGAATTGGAGACTAAGAAATTGCTGTTTAGAATTTTCCAAATTATTTTGTATGCAGTTTAAGACCTCAGAGACTTTTTAAGAAGACCAAACATATTTCAGATGGAAAGAACTAGAATCTTTAGATAGCTGTAGATTCTACAAAGAAAAGTAAATGTCTTTCTCGAATGGAGAAGCTTCCTTTCAGAGTAAGATATGACAGTCACCTTGGTATGCCTGAATGACTACAGTTGTCAGGAGGGCTGGATGATAAGTAGTTTCTGAACTAAAAAGAATTTTGTATTAAATCACTTTATCTTAAGTCCATAAATATCCCAAACAGCTTTATTTTGTTTTGAAATATCCTGAATTGATTTCTGAAATAGGCATGTCTTCTCTTTAAAATACTTATATGTAATTCATTGGCTGTGTTAAAAACTTACAAAAAGCCTACATTTGAGAAGGAAAGTGCTGAAACAGCTGGAGTCAGTGCAGGTCAAAGTGAAATATCTTAAAGTGGCCAGATTCCTCAACACACTGAGTAAGCAAGAATCAGGGTGTAACCCAGATAGCCACTGTTTGTGCTTACAGTGAACAGAGTGAGTTAAGAGCTAGAGTTACTTCTTAGAGGAGCTGCTTTACTTCTGGTCTGCCATTGATCAGCTCTGTCATCTCTCACTTTCTTGTCTGTCTTCTAAGTATTTCTCTGTACATGATCTGTTTTTTCTTTGCAGTAAGGCTTCTCCTACTATGCACTTATACAATACCTAGTAGCAATTGAACCTTTCACTTTTCTGGTCTGCTGTCTGGGCACACACATCCATGGGGAATGGCAGCAAAGGTTGGTGTGAGTCTTAACAACTCTGGCTTGTCTTTCTTATATTTTATCACTATCAGTGAACTCAGAGGTGTTTGTTTTGACCACATCTGAAACTGTGATGAAAGAGGTCAAATCAACTGCTTTGTTATAGACTTGCCAAAAATAAAGTTGTCCAAAAAGGACGATAAATGTTGCTTGTCACAAGACAGAGCTCTGTTTTCCTTCCCAGCTGAAGTTAACTGATGTGCTAACAGAGTTAGTTGTTACTAAATGTAGGTTTTTTTACAGGTGGCTTTTACATTCAGGGAACTGTTATGAAGATATTTCTTTAAGAAAAGCAGAAGACATGTTGCTATTTAATATATCTTTTAGAATATTTCACATATCATCTTGCACATCAGGAACAGATGATGATATTATTAAAGAAGTATAGTCTTATAATCCTATTCTTATAATTAGAACTCGCCACAAACTGTGTGTGATTGATAAGGTATAATAGATTTCATAATATGCCAGGGCAGCCTCTTCAAAAATTCATAACATAGTAAGGTTTAAGAATATGTAGACAATTTTTTAAAAATTAGACCAACTTGATAGTGGTCTTCAGCTTGAAGTGGTTTGATGATTTATTTCACATCACAGCCATGCAAAGCTTGATAATTATTTTCCAGAACTCTCTCTTGCCTTTTGCTCCAAATTGTACCAGAAGTTGATCAGCCTCCATGCCTTGTTCATCTGTACTTGTACTTTCCTCAGTAGCTCAAGATCTTCTCTCTAAAGCAAGCTCACACTGTCCAGTGATTTATGAGGCAATTGGAAATGGACATTAGGAAGTGATCTATCATATCCACATATGATAGATCACTTCCTAATGTCCGTTTGGAAGTAAGCTGAATGCTTACTTACATTGACTGTGCATAAATAACTTGATTGGATGCCTCAGATCATTTGTTTCTGAAATGTCAAAACCTATAGCAAGCAAATGCGGCAGGACTGTGAAATTCATTGCTTATGATTTTAGTGTGGGCTTAATTCACTATAACTGAGGTTAGTCTACACAATATTGTGTGTGAGAAATTGCAGGAGGCACCATATGCTTTTAAAATACTCTTCCTCTCTGTTCTCTTGATACTGGAATTTGAAGAGATTGGCCTGGAGTACCTGTAGACCTGTCTCTAAGGGCAGAAGGAAACACAATGGTGCAAAAGCAATAACCCCAGTAGCTGGGGTGGGAAGGCAAAGTCTACAAACATTTATTTTGGCTGCTAGGATAGTGGAGCCACAAGGAATTAATGGTCTCTTCCTCTTACAATGGAATTGTCATAACGCATCTAAGAGGATGAAACAGAGTATCATTGCAGAATTTGGGATTGCATTAAAGGCAGTTCACAGCTTACAATGTCCAAATGCACTGTGGTTCAAGCACTTGGACTTTTAAAGCATTTTAAAGTGCTGCTTTAAGAATAAGTTTGTGGGTGTTGTGGGGTTTGTGGGGTTTTCCTGTTTGTTTTTCCCCCCTTCTTTCTCTAAGAGTGTGGCTCAGGCCAGCACTGACTTGCAGGATTTGCATAAACTACACAGCTGCTAACTTGAGGATTGGGTCCAGAAGCTATATGATAACAAATTACTCAGAGTACTTTTGTTCTGGATCCTGTTCTTAAAGCAAAACAATTCTTACTGAGTGTAAAGGAAGTTTAGTTCTGCTAGATCTGTTTGTAAACTGATAAGGATAAAATCCAACCCTGGGGCCAGTTTAACTACTATTGAATCAGGGTGCTGCTATATTAGGTAGAGCAAGAATATTCTTAAAATTAGCAGTGACATTTATTCCCACACCCCAAATATCTAAATTCCATAATGAAGCTATGAATTATTTCTTTTTTGAGTTTAATATCATTGTGATAATTTTCTTGCATACCAGAGCCTTTACAGGCTAGGTGTGTGAAGTGTCTTTTAAGGTGTAACCTTGAACAGAATGAGTTTTCAAAGGTGAGTCACACTGTCAATATTACATCTGTCCAGTGATGCCATCTGTTGATATGATGAATCTCAAAAAACTAGGGTTGTCTTTCAAATTAAGATTCACAGGTTGTTTTCTACCCTAAGCTAGAAAGTGTTCTTGATCAACATTGAACAGGTGGCAAGTGGGGGTCCTGGAGTTCAGCAAGTCGAAAACTTGCACAAAAGCCCTGACTTTTAGAATCCATGTATTGACAATGCCAGCAAATCTGTAACCCCTTTCTCTAGCTTTGCTCCTGCCTTTGCCTTGTTGCCTCAGTCTGTATGGGATTCGGGCCTTCATTGTGGTTCTGAGCACATAATTTTTCCAAGTTGGAGTGTGAATTTTTAAAGCCTTTTTAAATTTATGAGTTTGGCCTTTTACACTTTTAGATCAGCCTTGTGAATGCAGCAGATCTGGGAACAGTTTGTTCAGTTTTCTTATCTGTATGGGTTGTGGGTAAACTCATTTTCAGACCCATTGTTGTAAAATGTAGTTATAGGATCCTGGCTGTTGTTTTTTCTCTGCTTTGCTTTATTTCGACCAGGGTTTTCAGAATGTAATGCCAAGTTTTTAATCTTTAATTATTCTGTGGTAAATCCAAAAAAACATTGCATTAAAGATTATGAGATTATGTTTCACTGAACACACACACACACACACAGAATTACCTTTCCACCTGTAAAAGCTTCACTGAAGAATGTCTTATCAGTTTCTTACAGCCCAGGGTGCTTAACAGTATTTTTCTTTCTTAAAATGAGTGAGGGGTTGAAGTATTTGGTCCCTACACCTGAAAAACAAAAATTATGATTGTCCTGTTCAGTAGTAGATGTTGCAGAGAAGACATAAAATGCAGGAGCATATAGGTGTGGTGCTCCCAAAACCAAAACCACAAGTGCTTTATAAAAGCAAGAACACAAACTCAATTTTCTGTAGTTTCTTTAAAACGTATGTCTATTTTCATACTTAAAAAAAATATATTAGAACGAAGGTTAAAAACCATAATGTGAAAGGATATTTTGAAAAGAAACTAGAAGTTGCAACATTTAGCTCTTTGAGCAACAGAACATTTTTTTCTTGCTTGGGATCAGCAAATAGTAGAAAGAGCAATAGTAATCTGTTAGTAATCTGGTGCATACATGTTAGAGGCTGCAACAGTTACTGTCCTACAAAAATGTAAGAACAGTTAATTTTTCATCCTTGAGACAGATTCCATTATAAGATCAGCTCATACCTTAACCCTCTATCACTATGCATGGCGTGTATTTCTTAAAGGCAGTGTTGACTCAAAAGAGCAAGGAAGTGATATAGAAGTTATAGTTCAGATTGCACCTGTTTTGTTTTTTTTTGCTAGCCTTATGTTCACACTGCTCACTATGGTTATTTTATCTTCTCTATAATTATGTTTTTCCTTCTGCAAAATGTAAATGTTGTCACTGCTCAGACACACTTAGCAGTCCAGAGGCAAATAGACTTTCAAGAGTAGTTTATCAGAGTGTTTCAGGGGTTTTTTCTCCCCTAAGGTTTCAGCTTAACTGTGCACCTTGCAGAAGATGGGAAAGTTGTCCTCCCCTCAGGAGGGCAGACTGGTACCAATTACCAGACTGGAGAGACATTTGTCGATGCAAGGAGATGAATCTGGAACTTGATGAGAGGTGGATGCTGTTTCTGTCCTGAGACACCTTGTGGCTCTTCTACTTACCACCCTTAAGCCTTTGCACACATAACAGAGATCATTGAGCAAAAAATACTCAGTTTTGGAATCTTTTTGTACATCTATATTGCAAAAACCATATGGGTTGCTTTCCTTTCTAGCCTGAGATGCATTTCCTATCTGGAAATACAAACTTTTCTGCTTCATACTGTTCCCCCACTCCAAAATCATAAGTGTGTGTCTTGGTTAATGTCAGTGTTTTCCATATGAAATCAGGACACTCAATAGGTTGTTATGTGAAGACCATATTGAAATCCATGTCTAACTTCAATCTTCAAAAACTAAATATTTTTTCATATCTGAGATGTTTAGGTAAACTAAAATAGTAAAAATCTGATTGGGAAAAAACCCCTTGCATCATTCTGCAAGTAGATTAAATATTTCTAGAGATAATATAGGTGCTGTGTCTTCTAGCTATTTTAGTTTCTCCATATGTGGGCTATGTTTATTATCACAAGTAATAACTTACTTCACTTATGCAATCAATCAAAAACATTTATACATCTTAGTTGAAAGAATAGCTTATAAACTGTACCTCTGAGGGGATGTGTTGCCATCTGTGAGATGTCACATCTTTAGTGGTGATGGGGTTCCTCTGTTTTTTCTGACTTTGACACTTTGCAAAACTCTATTTTTTAGTCAGATTTTGACACTTTCTTCCAATTTGATTTCAATCCTAGAAGTACAAATGGAGGACAAGGATGGAGATGGCAACACTGATATTGTTTGGAGAGTAGCAATATTTATTGTATTTATACAGTATTTACTGTAAATATAAAATAGAGATTTATATTTATGTTTATTTTTGTAAAGCTTACTCAGACATCTAAAAACATATTTTCTGTCATACCAAGGAGAAGTTGTATTGAATTCTTTAACAAGCAAATACAATTTTATGAGGAAACAAAGCAGTAAGAGTATACCCTTTGCTATAGGAATGAGGACAGGCTGAATAGAAAAACTCAGGTGCCAAGTGTTTATGTTTGAGTATGTATAAGTGAATCTTTCTTTTGCTTTTCCAAAAGGCTTAAAGTAATGTCCTGTTTGCTGAAGTTGTTATATAATTTTCCTTTACAGTTCTAAAGAAGTAAACCCTGTGTTAAACAAGCCAGAGGGAAGACCTGTGAAGGCAGCAGTCTCATCAGTAAGGGTATGACTGGTTCTGAATATGGTGGAAGTTATTTGCTTCAGTGGTAAACATAAGTAAAGCTGTGAGGAGGAAAGATAATAATTTGTAAAAAAAATGAGGTGGTTTTTTTTGTTGTTGTTGTTGTTTTGGAGGGAGGTAATGAAGCCACTAAAGCTTCATCACTAAAGTGCTGCTAAACCTATAATGGCTGTTTTTCCTTAATGCTATCTCCAATCTGTTCAGCTACTGACAGCAATTGGCATGCTGTGTTCTAATATCACAGAATTAGAGATAAAATTATTTAACTTGCAAGAACTTGGAATTTTCAGGTGTCATTAAGTGGTGGCTTATCTCTGTTCTTGGTGAGTTCAGAAGAACAAGATGAGGTTATCAATGGCGCTTCTGATAGTTTCCTGTTCATATTGTTTAGGTTTTTTGCCATGTATCCAATTTAAGAGGTATGCCTTCAGACTCCTTACTGATGGGTTAGTGGGGAAGAGAAAATCACTGCACTTGTGTCTATTTGTGATGTAAGAATTTGCAACAGTGATGTTTGTTTCTTTTTTAGCAAAGGAGAAATCCATTTAATTCCACTGTATCAGATGATACCTTGAACAGTGTGGAATCAGAAGACAGACCAGTCATTGTACCTCAGCTATCAAAGAAGGGTAAATGTACTTGTTTAGCAGATGACTGTGAATTTCCTGTAGGTTTATATGAAAATTATTTTTACTTTCATAACTTCTTTCTGTAAGAGATCAAAACCCATTTAATCTATAACTATTGGGAGTTCTCAACTAGCTTATTTCAAACCTCATCTAAAGCAAGTGGATATACTCAGGAAATGGTTATAGACATGAGTAAATGGATTTTGCTTCCTTTTATGCATAGTTTTAGTCAGTACTAAGCACTCCATTTGGGAGGGCTGCTTGTCCTGAATTGACAAGAGGACAGTGAAATTTCCTTGAATTTGGCATAGCTGTCTTTATGATTTTCCAATCATTGCTGCTAATTAGCTTGACAGAGCAGCCTACCTCTCTTTGGTCTGTACTTTTGTCCTTTGTTTCCTTAGTCCTGTTTATTATCCTCCCTTTTGAGCTGTATTTTCTGCAAGCAAGTGGATGAGTGATTATATATCACAATACAGGCATTTGAAGTTGCAATTTAGAGTCACATGTGGCTATTGCCCTCCTGTCTCTGTTGTGAAGCATGCTAACAGAAAAAGGAAAGATTTGCATAGCAGGAATAGAAAACCCTTCATCTCCCTGCCAGGAGATCATTTCTGCATTTGCCTTGTACTATATGGCTGTGGAAATATCCAGTTTCCATTTTTGTAGGTTGCTGTTTATATTCTGACATTGAAGAGATGTATGTGTATTCAAAAGCTGCCATTCCCTGCAAACTTTGTCCCTTGCAGGAATAATGCTGGTTAAAAACTTGGTGTGCTCTATTTGGTATCATCAAATAGCTGATGTTTCTAAAATAAGAAATAACTGCAAGCTTTTAATTTTCTAAAATTTTCTATTACATAAATATGAAATCAACACCTAAGTAAAATTACTTACTGTGATTTTGCTGCAGTAGTTTTTAATAAAGTAGTGTAATCACTGCATTTTAGATCTGCACTGTAATATCTTTATACTGGCAAATGTCACAGAAACGCATGAGCTCTTCTATGTCTTACAGAAATTTGGTCACTCCCAGAAGACAGCCCACTTAAATCAAACTTACAAAATGATAAAACAGATAAACCTGAGAAGCCTTCTACAGAACTTACTGATGAATCACTGAAGGAACTAGCTAAGCGTCCTGTCCCAAAAGCTAGGAAACTAATTCACAAAGCAGCAGATTCTCAAAGAGAAGACCTTGTTCCCAAACCAACCAAGCAGGCTGAGAGGGTTAATGGCATTGGTACCCCACCCAAGGGCATTCTGAAGCGCAGCTCAAGCTCAAGTTCCACTGACTCAGAAGTTCGGGTCAGTCAGACTTTAGATGTTCAGAAAAAGAATGGTCTTGCTACTGCAACTATTTTTGAAGGAGAAGGTGAGAAGAACTCTTTTATAGAAGAAGCAGAAAACTCCACACAAAATTCACTAGAAAAACTGAAACAAGTGAGGTTTTCATCTAGCTCAGGTAAAGGAAAATCTCTGCAAAGCCCACAGCTACACCATGGTAAAGAAAAAGGAGATCATGATATCTTAAAACTTGACAAAAAAGAGAATGGTGAAAATTATGCTGTTCAATCAGATTCACTTGGGAATAAGCAAATTTCTGCTGCAAAGCCTTCGGGAACCTATTCATCAACTTTAAAAATGAAAACAGTAGATGGCTTACAAGAAGACACATCTGCATCCACCCCTCATGACAGTATCAGATCAGACTTCCTGGTTAGTGAAAGCTTCCAGACAGATACAGTTACTCCCAAGAAACTTGAAACTCCACAGAAGACCTCCAGCAATATCCTGTCAAACCACAATAATGAACGGAGTGTTGATGAGACACATGAAAAAAAATCCAACCAGATCTTGAGCCATGAATCAGAGTCACACAAAAACTTTACTGGTAAGAGTCTAATAGAAGTGAAGAATGGAATGAAATAGAATATAACACATATTCATTAATGTGGATCACTTGTAGCTAACAATTAACAGCTGGGAAACAGAAGTAGTAGGAATGTGCTGCTGCACGAATGTCCTACTGCAGAATTAAATAATTAATTTTTTTTTTACACTTTTATGATCTCCTATTGGTAATCTTATCAGAACCAGCATAGGCACCTGTTATGGATGATATTTTAGTGTAGTCCTGTCAGTTGTCCTTGGGAATAATTCGGATGTGACTTAGGGATTTGTATATGCATATAACTAAACACAAATATGCTGTGTTGTCACCTCTGTGTGAGTGTCACACCCAGCCTCCCTTCAATGAAGGCATTTCCTTCAAGAATGGGTTTAACTCATCTTCTTGGCTTGTACCCTCAAAAGCAATGATTCCAGTAGGATGTCTCAGAGCAGGAATTTCCTTCATTCCATTGCCCATAGTATGCTTCTTTCTGAAATCACAAGGACAGAGAACTCTTTTCTCCACTAACAGTTAAAAAAAATTGAGAATTTTCTAGGTAGACCAAACATTTTTAGTCATGTATCTGATTCATAACTCTGATAAGTTTGTTTACATTATAGATGGACATCAACTTTCTGCTGAAACAGAAGCACATGAGGTGTCCAATACCAATTCTACAAGTCTTCAACAAGGTAAGCCTGATCTTGTTGAGGAGAGAGATGCTAAAACCATTTTCAAGCCTGGCAAGCATGCTGATGAACTCCTGAAAGTGGACGATGAATCTGTGTCAAAAGTTTTAGACTGGTTTAAAAGAAGTTCTAGTAATGAAGATGAGGAAGATGTATCAACAAAGTCCCAAGGCAGGGTGCCCAGAGAGGAAGTGGATGTGTCAATCAGAACAGCAGTTCTTCCTACAAAGCACAGTGGGCCTGGCATGCATGGAAAAACAGAAGATACAGAAGAGACACCATTTGGAGAGATTAAACAACAGAGCAGAATTCCATCTACATCCTTTACTTCAGAAAACACACAGCTGATAAAGGAGAGGGTGAAGCCTAAGATAGGGGAAGCAAATGAGAAGCAAAATGATAAATTGCTGACTGAATTTGATTGTGCGAGAGTTGAAGAAAAAGAACATGGTCGAGAAATCAAACAACAAAATAAAAAATCAAGTCTCTTGGACCATCAAGGGCACAAGTTACCAGCTCAGAAATTTGAATCAGAGAAGGCAATACAAGAAAAAAGAAGAATAAGGGAGATCAGAGCATTCTGGGAAAGGAATAAAACTATCCCCAGTCATGGAGAGAAAGAAGTTAGTATCAATGCTGATGTGTCAGGTGGCCATGCATTAACAGGTCTCAGTGAAAGTGATCAGCTAAAGAGATCTGCAGTGTATCTACCCAAGGCATTGCATAATCCGAGCAAGAATACATTGAGAAGTCTTGAAGTAAGTTGTGCAAGCCAGGTTTCAAGAAACAAAAGTTACCATTCTTTTGAATCAGGACCAAGCCATGCATTTAGAAAGCCAGAAGGGGCACTTCAATCTGGTGAACTCCCAAAAGCCAGTAATTTGCATCCAAGAGTTGGTGTCACTTCAGCTTCCTCAAAAAGCAAAGATGAAGATGAGAAAGCAACTCTTAAAGGGAAAGTTGCTGCTTCTTCCCAACAGAAGCCCAGCTTCCAGGTTTTGTCTTTAAAAGAAAAGATGAATGAAAAGTCCAAGAATCAAATTTTAGATCCTTCACACTTCCAGAGTCTGAGAAACTTCTGGGATACTGGAGTTAAATTCCAAAGTAGCATTGACAGTGAAGATGATTCTTTGCCAAATAATACTAGATCAATAACCTATGAAAGAAAATCAAAGGAAGATAAAAAAGGCAAAGATAATGTGAGCAAGCAAGGGTTGAGTCAACAACAACCCCAAACATCTGAGAGAGAAAAACCACAGAAACTAGATTCTGAGATATGCAAAAAGTCTTTAGGATCTCCTATCCTAAAAGGTCTGAATATGACACACACAAAAAATACAGACTCTCTCCAGCTGGACAGACAACCAGTTATCTCAAAATCCCAGGAAAAGATGGATCTTCCAGAGCAAGAAGTTAGAGAATGTACAGAAAAAGGCATTGTTTCTTCAAAAGATCATCATGTATCCTTGCAGCTCCAGTCACCTGGTGATAAAGGTGCTTTAAAAGAGACAGTAGTAGGTGATAAAGTATATTTACCTATAGAAAAAGGGGAAAACAAGACTACTCCTTTGGATAAAGAGGAAGTTGCAGAGACTGTGGATAAAGTTGTTCTACCTTCAGGTGAGCTTGATATATTTAAGTCATGTCTAAAGAAGGTAGAAAAGGAAGCCTCTGAGATGTCATGTAGCTTAAACCTAAAAGAAAACATTTTAAAAGGGACACATTTTCAGTCAAATCAGTGCAAGGTCTTTGAGAGAACAGGGGACGACTGTCATAATACTTCTCCTGATGATCAAGGACAAGAAATAGGCAAAAGTACAGGACAAGTGAATGTGTCATCAACAAATAAGCAAGAGAATAGAAAAAGTCTCAGAAAACTGTTTAGGGAATTTGAACCTTTGTATCTACAATATCAGGCATTAGACAAGGATGATACTCTTGAGGGCTCTCAGAGGCCTCAAGATGGTTTGGAGAACCTTCTCACGCAGACTCATGTATCTCAACCTTCTGAATACAGAAGGGTGGGAAAGAAAACATGCAATGACTCAAATAGTATATCACAAACTAACTTCAGTGTAGAATCAGCACACCAAGAAGCTACTGGTCAGCCTGAAGAGGTCCAGGAGCTCATAGAGAAGTCTGTAGCTGGATCCAAGGTCAATAGCTTGAGTTCTGCTCTAGAGAAGCTGCTGAAGGAGGCTTCTGAAGCACCACCTCCTAAATCCAAACATGCTGACAGCACAGCATGGCGGACTGCTGAGGAGCAAGTTAAAAGGACAAGGTATGAACATGGTGGAGAAGTGCCGCAGGAAATCAGTGAGACTGTAGAAAGGTCTGTTGCCCCATCCAAGGCCAGTGACTTGAGTTCTGCTTTAGAGAGGCTGCTGAAGGAGGCCTTTGAAGCACCCCCTCCTAAACCCAAACATACTGACAACACAGCACAGAGAACTGCTGAGGTGCAAGATAAAGGCATGACTTATGAGCGTGGTGGAGAAGTGCCGCAGGAAATCAGTGAGACTGTAGAAAGGTCTGTTGCCCCATCCAAGGCCAGTGACTTGAGTTCTGCTTTAGAGAGGCTGCTGAAGGAGGCCTTTGAAGCACCCCCTCCTAAACCCAAACATACTGACAACACAGCACAGAGAACTGCTGAGGTGCAAGATAAAGGCATGACTTATGAGCGTGGTGGAGAAGTGCCGCAGGAAATCAGTGAGACTGTAGAAAGGTCTGTTGCCCCATCCAAGGCCAGTGACTTGAGTTCTGCTTTAGAGAGGCTGCTGAAGGAGGCCTTTGAAGCACCACCTCCTAAACCCAAACGTGCTGACAGCACAGCACAGAGAACTGCTGAGGTGCAATGTAAAAGCACAACTTACAAGTGTGGTGGGGAGCTGCCTGAGGAAATCCCTGAGATAATAGAAAAGTCTGTTGCCCCATCTTCGGACAGTAGCTTGAGTTCTGCTCTAGAGAAGCTGCTAAAGGAGGCCTCTGAAACACCCCCTCCTAAGCCCAAACGTGCTGACAGCACAGTACAGGGGACTGCTGAGGTAAAAGCTATGAGCACAGCCTATGAGCATAATGGAGAGCTGGTGCAGGGAGTTGGTGAGACCACAGAGGGATCTGCACTGTCCAACACTGAATATAGAGGGTCTGATGTTAATTTTCAGAATCCACCCAAAGAGGTCTCTGAAACACCAGCTTCTGTGCTGGAAAATATGGATAAGAAAATCCATGATAAAATACAGACTAGTGTAAGTATATATGTTCCACATCAACGAGACAGAGATCACCCTCAAGAAATACAAGAAACAATAGAGAAAACTTCTGTTTCAAATATCGCACAATTTGGTGAATTCAGTCGCTCTTTAGAAAAACTACTTCAAGAAGCATCTGCAGTTTCATGTCCAATCTCCAATGATTTATATCAGCAAGAAGAGTTTGAGGCTCATACATTACCCTCAGAAAAAGAAAAAGAGACTCTATTCATGACAAGGTCACAGCCATACAATGCCCTAAGTAGCTATGATACACAAATGAAGATAGTTCTTAAAGAGGGATCTCCAGAAAAATATGTCAAAGCCTCAGTTAAGGATCTTGCAGTAAGTGAAATTGAAGCTTCTGGTCTTAAAAGAAAGGGAGCCATTAATAAAATAGGAGAGACAAACATGGTTCCAGTTGATCTTCATCCCTTGGAAGACAAGATGAATATGGTTGCAGTAAAACCATTTGAGATAAATGCTAAAGGGATGAATGAAAGAACATTCTTGGAGGCTTCTGAACAGAATACAGAATTTCAAGCACTCGTGAATTTCAGAAGAACAAGTACACCACTTAAAGATGAAAGCAGCTCTCCCCAGCCAGAAGCTCAGTTCTGCCTAATGTCTCACCATTATGATAACAATGAGGAGGAAGGCAACAATTTAAATTTGGGATCCAAGTTTTCAGATGAAAACTCTGATTGCCGCTCTGGAACAGGAAGTTCAACTCGTGAGCTATCTGATTTCTAAAATTCATGGTGCTGAGTTAAACATGGCTACAATAATTTTTTTTTGTATCCAGCTTGAAATATATTAATGGAAAGTATATGTGATACTTTCTTAACTGAGAAATTTGGATATTTTCTTGGGAGGGGTGGGAAGAACTAATTAAGCTGTTTGATTGGAAAGTGTTCAACAGACACTACATTTGGGTAAGCCTTTTTTGGTAAGGATAGTTTAGCAGCATTAATCCATTTAGTCTTTGTGATTTACACTTTTCTTATCCCATGTGACATTGCCTTGAAATTAATACATTTGTAACACAACATCTAGTAATCCCTTCAAATATTCTGGATTAAAAGAAGAAAAAATATCAGTGACTCACTGGTTTCATTCTTTAGTTTGACTGGCTAGTCTCTGAAGATAAATGCTTATCAGTGGAATATCTGGATATATGGATAACAACAATATTCTGCTATTTCATTTAGCATTGCTGCCTGTTGCACTGAAAAATGGCCATATAAATGAAAATGGTCGCTGGTTTCATTCTTTAGTTTGACTGGCTAGTCTCTGAAGATAAATGCTTATCAGTGGAATATCTGGATATATGGATAACAACAATATTCTGCTATTTCATTTAGCATTGCTGTCTGTTACACTGAAAAATGGCCATATAAATGAAGTGTCCATTTACTAGGATTCACATTATTTAGTTGAATGGCAGTTCTAGTCAATGTATAGTGTATGATAGTCATCAAAGACCTTAAGGTAGAGGAGATAATTTAACCTTTTTAGTCTCATACTGAGAAACTGGGAATATTTGCTTCTCCTGGAGAATCTGAGAAATAGATGAAATTCCCAGGGCCTGCCAACTTACATCCAAACCTATTTGGAAAGTGGTTTACCAAAGAGAGTCAGTGAAAAATCAAGATAAGTGAGGAAAAATCAAATGTAATTTGGTTTCACCCATAATTACAGGCAGCACAACTGTGATCAGTTGGTGGCGGGGGAGGAAAGTGAGATAGGGCAGAAGGAAAGTCTGAAAGACTTCTGAAGGAGCTGTCTTGATTCTGCTTTTGGAGACAATTTCATAACTTCAGGGGTCCAAATACATCCACACACCTCATTTTTTGTGGGGTTTCTTTGTTTGTTTATTGGGGTTATTTTTTTGGGGGGTGTGTGGGGAATTGGTGTTCGGGTTTTTTTTGTGGTTTTGGTCAGTTGGTTTTGTTTGGTTTTGTTTTTGTTGGGGTTTTTTGGTTACTCAAACATTGAAACAAAATTACATTCATTGTGGAAAGACTAGAACAGAAAAATTTGCACCAAAGGAAAAAAGGAAAATTTTCTGTTGTGCTGATTCCTGAGAAGACAGTTACAAAATGGCTGCAATCTGAGTTTATCCTATATTAATCTTAACCAATTGAGTGCAATAATTGCCCCAAATGCTGTTATTAGTCAGTAAAGATAGGCCTATACCTACACAGGGCAAATCACTTGTATGTCAAATCACTTGTCAGACTTGTCTGTCTCCCCTGATGACTGGGGGTGTTTAGAGAGAACAAATGGACACTTAAATTTTGATGTCTATTTTATTTTGGGTTTATCTTCTATTTTCATTGAATGTTCACTGTCTTTGCTAACTGTGAAAATAGAGTCTAATGAGAAACCTGTGGCTGGTTCTTCATTGACTTGCTTAAAGTGGCCTGCCTGTGTGTGCAGTGTTCATGTGTTTTGTCTCGTAACAGGTTCTGAAGAAGAATTAAACCCTGTTTTGATGGCTTTGAAAAGGAGTGCAGATAGGAAAAAGCCTTCCAAAAGTCTAGAGGACATTCCATCAGCCACCTCAAGTGAGCACAAAGCTTGTGTGTATCTCCCATGACCCCCAGTTTGGTTTAAATGTGTTCCTGCTGTTCTTCCATACAGCCCTGTCAAGTTGTGGCTTTGTTTTTGTTTCTCAATAAGCTGTATGGAGGTTATACTTTGGAGGTTATTCTTTTCTCATATGGTTTAATTTTCAGTTCTTGGTGTTAATTTTGGAACAAGGCTGGTCTGTGAAGCAGACATCTTCCAGGAGTGCACTGTGTTGAGCAGTGATTAACTCTTTCCTGGATAGTTTTTCAATTGTGAAAGTATTGGCAATTACCAAACCAGTAATGAGCAGCTACTGTCATTGCCTCCTGGTTGCTGGCTAGGGTCAAATAAGTAGACAGTGAAAGCATGAAAAACTCAGTTTAGTAATGGTTCACCTGTGCATTCTAGCAGTAAATATATCAACCTCACTTTAAGACAATACAGTGAGATAATATTATACTTAAAATGAATTCCCAGCTTCCCTCAGTATCGACTTTGGATTCCATGTTTTTTTAAAAATTATTATTCCTGTCTCACTTCACCCTGCCCCTGAGTGCTTTCATGCTTATCTCATGTCTAATGGGGAAGACACAGACTGAACTTACATTTGTGAAATGAAGCATGGAAATGTAGAACTTTTAAAGATATTAGCAAGTTGTTCTTCTAATACTACTTATGCTACTGCTTGCTACTAACCAGTTTCTAGGTTTTAGGTGTGCACTAACATTGTTGCAACAATATGCTGATAGAAACTATGTCACCATGAGACCCCTGCTTGGATGTAGGCTTTGAGGTAGAATGTCAAGTAAAAGTCTCTTGAATTTAACCCTTCCCACGGCTCTGCTGGTTTGTCTGTGGTTTTGGTCCTCATTACTCTTAATTTTGTGATTATCACTGCCATCCATTTTATACTGAATAACAAAGTTTCTAACTGTGTTATTTTTCCTGAACAGATAAAGAAAAAATAAATAAACCAAAGGAAGAGTTAGTTCTTAGTGCTGAAGATGGTAAATATCATTTGTTTCTGCATGGAAGTTTGTTGCTTTTTCAATGGTCTCTGTTTGCTAGTGAAGTTTTTGTTTGTCTTTTTTAACCAAGAATTATATTGTGGTTTTAGATTTGGTTAACCTCAGCATGGCTGGAAAGCTTTTGTAGAATTCTGTGGTGGTGTTTATTCTTAAGGAATCTATTTGTGTCCTCCTGTATCTGTAGAAACTGTGCCACTTATCAGTGTATTCTTTTGGCCTTCAGTCATTCAGCCTATGAGCTACTGAAATCCTAGGGAGCTTTGAACACAAGCTCAGTTGAAAGAAATTTGCCTCAGTAAATATTCAATTTGTCTGTTTATCCATTGCATTGTAAGATCCAAGATGACTTTTGCTAGTGCAAGACACCTTTCAGAATACCTCAACTGGAAAGGAACCTCTCTAAATATCCCTGCCTTAGTCCTATAAAGTAGCATTATTGTAAGCAATAGATGAACTTCTAGATCAGCCACTGCTGATATCATCAGTGCATTATAGATGCCTTACAGATAATTTTTTCTGTATACCTTTAGAAATTCCAAATCTAAGAAAAATAAAAAGCAAACCTGCTCCAGGAACGTGTCAAAATAAACAGAATTGAAAACTATCAAATAATATTGAATATAGTGGAATATAGCACACAATGCTTTATTTACTGGATTGGAGCACTACAGTTTTAAAAGAACAGTTGTGTGCAGTTGTATTTTTTATTTCATGGTTTAGATGTTTAAAGCATTGTGCATGCCAGTGGCCCATAGTAGCAATAGGATAATCATATCGTATTAGAATACCTACAATACCCAGTAAAGTAACAAGACTTAAGCACCATCCTGCACTCTGCTTTCAAGTGGAGACCCCTACTGAAAGCCTGTTTTGGCATTCAGTGTGAATGTTTACAGACTAATCTGAAAAGAGCAGGGGGAATTTGAGTTTAATTTATTAAGATTGAAGTTATGAAAAAATGACAGAGAGACAAATTGATGGCTGTACAGGCAGAATAAGGCAAGTTCTCTTGAAAAGACTGGTCTTTTGGAACAGCAAAAAGACTGATTTTTTTAGCTTGTACACTTATATTACACTCATATTTTCTCATGATCCAGCTCCTCAAAGGAGAACAGCAATGCAAAATGCAGAAACAGAATCATAGAATTGTTTAAGTTGGAGAAAACCTTTAGGATCATCAAATGCAACCTTTAAACCAGCATGGGCAAATTCACCACTGAGCCATGTCCCTAGGTCTGAATTTATGTTTGCATAAACAGAAAGGCTCCATAATGCACCAAAATCAAAAAGACCTAATGCCCATACAGGCCTAATACCTAAACCACTACTAACTATTGGAAAGAAAAAACCCCACAATGTTCATGTGGTCTGGGGAAGTAAAAAAAAACCCAAACCACCAAAAAAACCAGAAAAATCCCACACATAAAGTATATTGATGCTATTTATAACCTTGGAAAACTGTGCTGCTGAATGACTGTTAATACTGCACTGAGCAGGTCTGAAACCTGATCAGCATCAAGAGAGGACTGAAAATGCATCAGAAAGTGAGTAATAGGATTCTTCCAGCAGATACTGGAGAGGCTTTTCGTCTGACAGCTGAACTAATACATTAACAGTACTTTTTCATTTAACAAGTTACACATCTGGTCTAGATACTTGCTCTACTTACTGCATCTAATTGCATACTAACAATAACTGATCTCTTAAGCATTGGTTGAGTTTTGACATCAAAAGCTTTGCACAAGTTTCACTCACCTTGCAAACAATCCCAGTGTGTGCAGTGTTTCATTTTATGCAATAAATATGTGCTCCTGTAGGTGGCTGTTTTTTGCCATATCATTTTCTGTCACATCATATTGATGCATCTCTCAATGTCATACAATTAATATTTCTGTACTATTAAATGTAAGTGGGGCTAGAGCATGAAAAATTCTGAGGATCATGAGCTTACTGTAAACTGGATTTTTGCAAGCCTAGCTTGTGCAATTAGTTTTTGTACAGTGAAAGAGCACAGAAGTGAGATGCAGTAGAGGTATGCAAGTATGGAAGAGAGAGAGTGCAAAAAAGTGCATCATTAATAAGATATACATCTTATAATTGAGTAACAATACTGCAACTTCCTTGGCCAGATCTAGAATTTGCTTGATTTACAGAAATGTGCCTATTGCAGTTAAATAGACTGAGTAAATAGAACAAAGTTTGGCTTCTTACTAAGAATACGATGATAATTCTAATGTTAGTGATGATATTGTTAGTGCACAAGTGTGCTTATTCTTGTTCCAGGAGGAAAATCTAGAAGGTAATCTGCAATGTTTTCTTCATTGCTTTTGATCAGAATTTGCTTATAGCACCCAACCTACCTCATATCAAGGAACATTTCTTGTCCTTGTCAAGCTTGTTGGTCACTGTTACAGACAATGCCAAAGTAGATTATTCTTCCTAATTATAGCTTCTCTGAGTCCTGTGGGGGGAAAAAAGCCCCTTGCATCCAAGGTGGATGTGCATGTGCATGGATTTCATCCAAAGTGGTTTGCCTCTAACTGTGTCCTGTTATGGAATCTCACTGTTCTGATGTACAAACATGTTTTTGAAGCCTTTTGAATTACTGCTTTTCAGTTTCCACAGTGACTTCACAGCCTGATAAACCATTTTCCAACCCTGAAAAACTCAAGGGACTGAGCAAGTCGGTACCATCATTCTTACAGGAAGAGGTAAGCTCCATCTCTGAAATGTTATCGTTTCAGATAACTACCTGACCATTAACTCTGTGCAAGTAAAATTTCAGAACTGCTAACAACATGCCATGCTTGATTATTGTTGTTATCATCATTATGGTGTGAACCTCAGAATAAGCTCTGAGGCCATATTCTAATCTCCTAAAATGACATTGAAGTTTGAAAAGTGATAAGCAGTTTGAACTGTCAGGCCTATGACATCTATGATTCTCTATCAGAAGAATCACAGAATGGTTTGGTTTGGAAAGGACCTTAAAAGACTGTCCAGTTCCAACCCCCCTGCCATGGGCAGGGACACATTTCACTAGACCAGGATGCTCAGGGCTCCATCCAGCCTGGCCTTGAACACTTCCAGGGGTGGGGACAGCCACAGCTTCTCTGGGGAACCAGTGCCAGTGCCTCACCACCCTTGCAATGAAAAACTTCTTCCTAGTATCTTATCTAAACCTATCATCAGTATCTTATCTAAACCATCTGAACAGAGAAAAAATCCTGGCCTGCTTTTACTTAATAGACATAACCAGATTTTATAAGCAAATTGAAAAGTTCTTTATATGCTAAATGTTTATATAATTTATATAAATAACTATTTTCTTAATATGTGTGGAAACTGTTGTTTACTAATCTTGTATCTGTTATGAGAAGATCTATGACATCAGTTCAAAACTTTTGAAGGAGCTGGGAGACCTTGTAAATTGTTCCTGGGTGGAATACAACAGGAAGATTAAGTTATCTGTAACAGCTTGCATAGGAAGGCACATGTGGGAAGGGAAATCAATTCTTTACTGCAGAAGTAGCACTGAGAAACAATGGGGTTGTGAGTACATAACCTGATAATGACCACGGAAACAAAAGCTGCAATTCCCTCATGGAAAAGCAAAGCCCTGCTTCCCTCTTGCCAGAAAGGCTTTGCAAAAACCACTTACTGTATCCAGGGCTGTTCTCTGAATGTTACCTTCTGGCCAGCTGCCCTTAAGAGAGAGGCACAGAGCTGACAGCATTTACTATATAACAGAAAGGACTGCTAAAAGAACTGAGCATTAACAATTGCATAGGTTATGCATTAGACAGTGACACAGAGAAGTTGAGTTAAATTGTTCCAATAAACTTAATTTTGTAATTTTTCTTTGCTACTTCAGATTTAAAACATAGAAACAACTCCCCAAATCTAGTTGCTTTGCTGCTTAAAAAAAATATCAGTGTAGGGTGTTCATCAGAAAAACTCCCTTTCAATTTTAAATGCATGACCTAATTCTAGAAATATTATTCATGTTGCACTACAAGGGAATTTAAATTCAGACGTCCACTGAGTCTCAACCTGCATTAAAATTCTGTTTGTTTGTTTTATAATTTTCCATGTGACTATAAAGAACATACAGAGACTTTCTTTCTGTGATGTTTTTGTAGAGTGATGACAGAGAGACAGATACAACATCAGAAAGCAGTTATTCCTTTGGCAGAATCAAGAAGAGTCCCAGCTCTCTAACCAATCTTAGCAGCTCTTCTGGCATGGCCTCCTTATCCTCTGTATGTAAACCAAAGCATTATTTTAAAGGCACTTTGCTTTTGCTAATTTCTGCCATATTGTTTTGGCTCTTTCCTCATTCATTGTATCTTTCTTCCTTTGCCATCTCTGTCTCCTTTCCATTTCTGTTATATGAACATAACATGGTTCCTTGCATGGAATTGCCTGAAGCAAGTAAAGTAAAATTAAATCGATTTCAATTTTTTTCCCTAGTAATATATAGGAGCTTGTTCAGGGCTCTGAACAAAGATATGGATTTTACCCTCAGAGCTTACATTTGTAGCTGAAAATGAGGAACAATTCACAAAGAACAAACATTTAGAAAGGGAGAAAGGGGAGAGAGATGAGTCAAAGCGGGAGATATTATTAATATATCAGGTGTGTAGTTGAGTCAACTAGCTAACCAAAAGTCGTTGGTTTATGTGGACTTTGAGTAAGAAAAACAGAATTTTGGGGAAGGATGTTGAGATAAAAATTATAGATATATATATATACAGACACATCTTTCTTCTTCTCTGTATTTAGTATTTAATTTTCAGTGTTTTATTCAGCCATATAGACTTTATCTCTTAATCTTTTTGTTAGTATTTTAGAGAAGGTCTGTTGTCCTAAACTCTTAGTCTCTGCTTGCTGCAAGGAAGATGAGCTGAGGAGATGTAGAAATAATATTTCAAGGATCTGTGCACAGCCAAGCTTCATATCTACAGCATCCTTTAATTTAATTTATTCTATCTCAAGCAGTAAACCCATTCAAACTTTTTTGTTGTAAGAATCCTGAACAAACACCTTTGATTTCGAAATATCTTTCTTTCATTAATCTGCTTGCTGAGAAGCTTGTATAATGGTGTCCATTACATTTTATTGTTACATCTAAAGAGATGCAGTTGATTTCTTTACTGTCTGAATCCTGAGCACAACTTCTACCCTGATCCTGAAGTACCTGGTGAAATGCAATGTCTGGAAAATATTTCTCCTCTTGTACACTGCAGGTGAGTGGCAGCCTAATGAGCATCTACAGTGCAGACTTTGGCAATGTGGATGTGAAGGGGAACATTCAGTTTGCCATTGATTATGTGGAGCAGCTGAACGAGCTCCACATCTTTATTTGCCAGTGTAAAGACCTGGCAGTGGCAGATGTTAAGCGACAGCGCTCAGACCCGTAAGTACAAAGAATGCGTTTATTTTCTAATGGAAGTTTTTCTTTTAATGTGGAAATGAAAACTTCTGGGGTTTTCCAGTCTCTCTAACCTTCTGGAGTAAAGCTCCCAAACAGATGAAGAGGCTATAATGTGCTTTATGAGGTTTTTTTTTTACTCTGAGTATAGAACTACCCTTATAAATTGGTGTGTGTATATGTATTAACACAGGAAATTAAAATTTTTAAGAATATTAAATTATCTTTTGAAATTCCACTTTTAAGACTCTAACCTTCTGGAGTAAAGCTCCCAAACAGATGAAGAGGCTATAATGTGCTTTATGAGGTTTTTTTTTTTTACTCTGCATAGAGAACTGCCCTTATAAATTGGTGTGTGTATATGTATTAACACAGGAAATTAAAAATTTTAAGAACATTAAATTATCTTTTGAAATTCCACTTTTCAGCTGGTAAACACCACTTTGATATGTTTTCAGTAGGATTAGAACCTATAAATATGACACTTGGGCCTGCTACAGGTATATATTCTATATTTTCATGTGCTGAGGAGACATTTCAACAGATTTTTCCCTGGAGAAGGATATTATAAGAAAGTGATGATTTTACACATCACCACTGCTGTTGTAATTCTTAAATATGCAAACTGAATAACATAATGCCTACTCAAGTGGATTTCTTTTACTTTGTGAGCAAATACTTGTGTATTTGGAAGATGAAGTTGGAGAGGGTCTGGATTTTTTAGGTTTTTGGGAATTTTTTCACTCTTCTAACAACCCTGTCTAAATTTTAGGTATGTAAAGACCTACCTGCTTCCAGAGAAATACAGACTGGGCAAACGGAAGACATCTATCAAAAAGAAAACTTTTAACCCAGTCTATAATGAAATACTGCGGGTATTTATCAAATTATTACTGGATATAATATAGTGTATGTGTGATGTGTGAGGAACCTCAGACTTTGGGCACTTTGTACTCAAAAGGAACATTACCATGAGAGGGATTGCTCTGCAGAGCTGGCTGTGTGCTTTCATTAATAGGCTAACTCTGCAGTGGTCTCTGGATCCAGCATTAAGAACACCGGTGGTTTTATACTTCTTGTAAACAAACACAAGCCATGTATGAGCTTAAGCTGTTAGAAATAAAAAGGAAATAGTTGGGTTTTATTGTGATTTGTTTGCTTTCTGAAATGCAGAAGAGGGCAATTATGGACAAGTAAACCAAGACACTTTTTTCTAACCGTGTTGCTTTCTGACATAGCATTGGTAAAAATTCAGCTTGTTTTAATTTTTGTTTTCTTACTTCTTCCTGGCAGTATAAAATTGAGAAGGAGCTCCTAAAGAATCAAAGCCTCAATATCTCTGTCTGGCACAATGATACCTTTGGCAGGAATAGCTTCCTTGGTGAAGTGGAGTTGGATTTAGGAGCTTGGGACTGGAATGATCCATCCAATAAGCAGATCAACTGGTTTCCTCTCAAGCCAAGGGTAGGTTGGCTGTATTGTATTTTCTGCTGTGTAAGTACAAAGCCAAATCATTATTTAGGCCTGTTCCTGTGTGTTCTGTGGGTTTTGTGCTGATTATAATAATAAATACTTATACACTGCTAAACAGAAATACAGTTCTGAGATGTCTTGTGGTCTAACTAGCTGTTACAGTAGGAGAAACTTTCTCACAGTCTAAGGAATAGGAATTTCAAAATATTTCTCATTGTTATATTGATGCAACGGAAATCTGAAGGCACTTGTTAACCAAATATGGAGTAAACCTGCTGAGGATGTGGAGCAAGTGCAGCACCATTTTAATTTCAGATGTTTGGTTTCATTTTTTTTTATTTCAGACTTCAGCAATAACACTTAATCTAGAAAACAGAGGGGAGATGAAACTAGCCCTCCAGTACATCCCACATCCAGTTGGAGGTAAGCATTGCTGCTTTGCTTGGGCTTGTCAAGCCTTTGGTGATTTTGTCCTTTTTTTTTTATTTAAAAAAAAAAGAAGTTCTCCCTTAATGTTTGTCATTCACTTCAGACAGCTTCTGTCTGTTTTCTTCCTAGAGGAGTAAGTCACTCTGATTTTGAATACAGTTTAGAACCCCAAAGACCATTTTGAGATCTTTTGTTGTTTTTAATGCTACTGATGAAGAAATTACCTCATTGTCACAATCTAAGATTTGTAATGCAATATGTACATGTAACAAAATTGTTTTCTCAATAATTTTAGAGATTATGAATCATCGGGCAGATGCTGTGATGTGCTAAGCAATGACAACACACTGAATTTAATGCAATACTAAGTACAGGAAGTAGCAGCAAGTATTTAGAAAGCAGAAATTTATAGCAGTCTAATCAGTTGGGTTTAATCTTGTCTGGCAACAGACAGTGGACCAATCTGAGAGTGAAGCCAGGTCAGGTCTCTAATCCAGACAACCAGTCAGTAAGAACCAAATATATTAAGAACATAAAAGAGCTTATTTGAAAGTACAAGCAACAATAAATGCTAACATCACATAGAGTGATGACAAGCTGATCTGTTTATCTAGGAGTCTTGGGAAGAGTAGACCAGTGGCATGTGTTTGCTTAGTTGTAAGAGAAGAAAAAGTCATTGTAGGAATGCAGACATGATGTGATCTTGCGGTACTTTGATGGGATGAATATTTCAATTTCCAGAGTACAGAGAGCAATGTTGAATTAAGATGTGAGATAACAAGTCCAGGCTGAATATCACCTCTGCAAATGGGCAAGAACTGCTGCATCAGACAAAACACCTTTAAAAGCTATCTGCTTAAGCAGATGTTTTGTTTTGTTTGTTTTTTTTTACAGGAAAGAAGACGCTATCCACTGGTGAAGTCCACATCTGGGTGAAGGAATGCCATAACCTCCCTCTTCTGAGAGGCAATAGGCTCAACTCTTTTATTAAATGGTAAGAATTGTGGTTGAGTCATCAAATGGTGGCCTAATAAAGCTACAATTTTGCTTTCTAATTGTATCTTCTTTTTCTACATTCTTATTAAAAGAACACTGAATTGCCTTCTGATTCTCCTTTATTGTAGTGCAAATTGTCCTTCATAATTTACAGGTTCCAGATGCTAAGTATGTACCACCCAGTAAGTAAAACTTACTGGGAGAGCTTTCAGTGTCATTATTACACTTTGTTTTTGTCTCTCAGTCACTTGGTGGAATGACTAGTCAAACTGTTCTGGCTTTTATTCACATTTAAGCAAAACATGTTTCTGCAAAACTTGGTTTAGCTTAGCAAATTTTGGGAGGGGACAGAAGAGTGAAATAGTGTAATAGTGTGAATGCATAGTTGGATTTCTTCCCCCTTCCTTTCCACATACAGACTAAAAATGTGGAGACAAGAATAACAAGATGGTTGGGGAAATCTCTGGCAGCAACAAAATGTTTCAGTGTCATCAGTGATAACTGAGCAAATAAACTCACTTGTGCCTCTTCCCTACCTGCCTTGCCCTTCCATCCTCTGAAGCACAAGGGTGGATACCTGCTGCAAGTATTTCCTGCAAGGGACTGAGAATATGACCCTTCACTCCATCTCTGTAAAGCACTGTATCTTCAGTCCTATTTTAGCATGCAAAACACAGTTAATCAGAAGCTTTTGTCCTTTCAGTATGTTTAACACAGGCTGTGCTGCGCAAGTGCAAACTGACAGTGCTTTTTCTCTCTGAAGTACCATTCTTCCAGACACCAGCAGAAAAAGTCGCCAGAAAACAAGGACGGTTTCAAAAACTACAAACCCGGTGTTCAACCACACCATGGTCTATGATGGCTTTAGACCAGAAGATTTGAAAGAAGCCTGCATAGAACTCACAGTCTGGGATCACAACAAACTGGCAAACCACTTTCTGGGAGGCCTCCGGATAGGCCTTGGAACAGGTACTGGACAATCACCACATTAATACTTAATTTACAGAGTAGTCTTTCCTTTTTTTTCCCCCCCTTTTCCATTTCTTCTCTTTAAGTCTCTCTTTTCCCTTGAACAGTTTCATTTAGTAACATACCTATTCTTTAAAAAAGATCCTGAAATGTAAATAATAGTAGTGTTAGAAGGGTTAGGATGACCGGCAAGGAGAAATATTAGGAAAAAACCTTTGTCTGGCCATACATTGTATCTGGTACTGTTTAAACTACAAGAATATGGTATTCAGAAATATTAGGAAAAAACCTTTGTCTGGCCATACATTGTATCTGTTTAAACTACAAGAATATGGTATTCTGCACCTGAAATCTGATAATGTCTTGCAAACTTACTCATGCAAAAAAAATAGTTTAAAGACAGCAGTGGGTGGAAATAAAAGGATAGATCATGAATGTAGGATAAGATTGGAAGATACTGAATAGGAAAAATTATAAATGCAAACAAGTCTTTAGCATAAGGGCAATATAAGATGTGCAGATATACCAACAGGAAAAGCTTACAATTCTCATATTTTTCACTTTCATTCTGCTCTCTGATCTGAGAGGAGGATGTGTTTGGAGTCTTCTCAAGAAATGCAATGTACAAACAATTTTTCACAAATTAATTTCTTGCATGGCTCACCAGAATAATCTAAATTACAAATTAGAATAATAAATATTAATTTCAATTTTAAGTACCCAAGGTTGCATTTCAGTACAAAATCAGTACTCTGTTTTATTGTTAAACCTTCTCAGATGTATGGACAATTGACATCTTTTTCCTTGGGATTGTGACAAAAAGACCAAGGATACAAAAGGAAAAAATCTGGACAAAGATGACAAAATTTGTGTGAAACAGTTATTAACTGAATTTGACATAATTGCTCAAGAGTAAAAATGTAGAACTGGGTTTCCAAAACACTAGGTCAGCTACTTGAGGAGGTGTAACCATTTTAGAGCAGGCAAATTTGATTGTCTGTGCTTAAATCTGCAGCAGATTAAGTAATTTTTCTCTGAAAACTGACATTTTTCTAGGCAAAAGCTATGGAACTACAGTAGATTGGATGGATTCTACTTCAGATGAAACTGCCCTTTGGGAGAAGATGATGAACTCCCCAAACACGTGGATAGAAGATACACTACCTCTCAGGATGCTTATGGTTGCAAAATTGACAAAATAAGGTGGATTTTTATTTGTTAGCCTCAAAAAGGAACCTTGGGAATTAAATTAAAAGCATGGGGGTGGAACTTGGGAGAGGAACACAGTAGTAGCTTTTTTGACAGTTTCTGCTCTGTTACTGTTCTGGTTTTGTGCTGTCAAATGCCACTTTGTATTTCAAACATCTGCTGATTGTTATGTAAATTGTAGGGATTTTTAAATTTCTTATTCACTGAAAACAACTTCAAGAAAGAAGGTGCTTACAGAACTCAGTGTTAGGGGTAGCTGTGATAGCTGGATTACTGTGTTGTCCAACTGAAACATTTCTGATCCCTTAAATGATCCCAATAATCAGCAGAAATATAAGAGCAAGTCAACTGTTTCTGAACATTGCTTGGATTGTTCTTGAAGTCTTACTGATAAGACAGCAAGATTAGTGTTAAAGCTCATTGGTATGTATTTGTATCCTCATTATGCCATGTTAGATCTCACCAGCATGGAACATGGGCATGAAGAATTTAGTTTTTTGAAAGTTCCTCTAGTTGTAATAGTACATTTCTCGGACATGAAAGTTACTTCCCCAATGAAAGAAGCATGTCATGAAGTGTCACTGTTGATGTCCTATTCTACAAGTAGAAGAGGACTTAGTTCCAATGTACTGTAAAAAATCAGGGTTATAAAAGGTTTGCTTTATATATGTGTTAATCATCTTGCTAGCATAAAATACCTAGTCTTAAGTGCTGAAGATGTGAAGGTGAAGTTTTTTTAATTCCAATCCTACTCAAAATGTCAATTTTAGCGATGGCAAGAATGTTGGGTATTTATTCTCCAAAGTGCCCTTGTTTGTACCTGTATCCATTAGTTTGGGGTTTTTTGCAAGAAGTGAACTTACCTGTGCTTCAGCGCCACCGTTAGGAGACTGGGAGGACTGTGGTGGGCTTTGCTTCGTTTTGAGGCATAGCAAATAAGACTGGAGTTTTTAACTTGTAGAAATGCATGCTACTGGTAGATAAATACATGAAATACAAAATATATTCCTTTTGTTTCTTTTTTTTAAATAAATGCAACCTATTTAAACTAAATAGGAATTCAGTTTTTCTTAAATTCCAGGGGTTTATGTTAGCCATTCAGCATGCAATATAACAAAATGCAGACAGAAAACATTTTTGAAAATAAATGCACAGGTATTTACTCCAGCTAAGTCTAAAAGCTGGTGAAATCTTTCAGTAAAGTTAGAGTAGAGGGGAGAAGGGAGCTCTTCACAGCTCTAATGCAATTGCTTGATTTAATAATAGAAATTTAAATGCTACTTGGTATTTATTATACACTATGAAAAAAAGGAAAGAGGCTCTTCAGCCTTCCAGGGAATCCACTATCCCTCTCATCAGCCAGGCAGTCTGTGGAGTTTAAAAGTGTCAAAAGCAGTTTGCCAGTCTTTGATATCTTCCTGCTTCAGGTGTTTTGTATGAGATTGGTAACTGCTACAGCTTCCACTCTGTCAGGCATATACAAAAGACTTTTTGTGTGCATATGACACTTCAGAACAATGATTTTTTACCAAAATGGTACAGCTTCTGCTTTGATTCTACATTCTTGAAGAGTCACTACAGAAAGGATGGTGATTCTGAAAAAGAAGAGGTACTTAATTTATTTGTATTTGCTCCCTATATGAATAAATTTTGCATCTGAAAACATAGGTTGCTGTGAACATGACCTACAGTTGCAGTTTTTTCTCCTGTGAAGCTCAAATACATTGCAAAGTCAAATCAGCTTTAGGTTCAATTGCAGAGATGGGGTCTTAAGGCTCCACATTTGCAGGACTTGCCTGGGTCTTGCCTCCAAATTTGCAGGACTCTCAAAGCCAGCAACTGACTCAGAATTCACTATTGAGGGGCTGCTCAATAGTGGGCCACAAGTGTCATGTAATCTGCTGTCTTCTATACTCTACAAAATTTTTATCCCTAAACTTCACTGCTATCAAAATAAAATGTTTAGTTTGTCACCATGACAGTTTCCTTGTCTTCTGATCAAGTAGAAGACATTCTGTGTCTTGCTGTTCTTTTAGTCCTCCTAAAGGCTAACACAGAATTTTCCTGGTATCTCAAAAGACTCTGCATGTCACCTTACTAATAGACCAAACCTCAAATTTTGAAAAGCTACCCGAACTTGAATGCAAGATTTACTTACATGTTGCACTTGTAATTAACTAGTTTGATTAACTAATGACAAAGGGGTACTATGTACTCATCTGGGTTAACCAATAAACTGAGACAAGCAGCAAAAACTGTTCCTTAAGTACAAAACTTCCTCTCCAGTTTTTAATACATTTCTTTTCATTGTGTACAGAACCCCTAACTTCAGCAGCATCATAATATGCTGATAGAGAAATGTGAGTTGGGAAGTTGATTAAGACAAAAAGTTTCAAGAAACTGCTTAATTTGTTCTCAAGGCAAAGGGAAAGCCTTTAGTCATCCATAACCAAAACTTTAAAGGTGCATAATTAGCTACTCATTAAAGGGCAGTTTGATAAATTAATAACTATGCTTTGTCATAAAGGTGAACTGGAATTAAGAATCAAAGCAACCATACTCCTAAAATATCTTTATGTATATTCATTCTCGTCTGGAGAAACACACCAGTTCCTTCCTCTCTTCTCCTTCATGTTACAAGCTCATCTTTCTTTTAGTCCATGATTTCTTTTTCTTTTTAGCACATTTGTGCGTATATGCATATATACACATGTGTGTATATCTTCTAAATTACACTGTTTTCATTTGCTATAAACCAAGCTTCAAAGTCCTAGCTCTCCTTTTGTGCTCTGTGTTCAGAAACCTCCCATTGCTGCAAGTAAGGTTGCAAACCTGAGATGGTGCAGCAACTCCCATTGCTTTGGTTTCACCCATTTTGAAACCCATCCTTTGCCCTCTTCTGTGTGCTTCATGTCTGTAACCCACAGCACTTTCTTCTTTCTCCTTTTTATCCCTTTCCAGAGGATTCAGCCAAACCTGCACTGACTTTTTTCTTCCAGTTGGATTTATTTTTCACTTCCCTATCCTGTTGGCCAGATTTTTATTAGCTGCTAAATAAAGTTGTGAGTTGTTCAGGGCAAGGTCTGTCTTTACTTTCCATGGACCTTCAGTGTGTTCTGAGGTCAGAGCCTGCTATTCTGATTCTGGCATGTGCAGGATGTAAGCTGACAACGAGGAGTTCTTCAAGCTTGTGGAAATTCTCTTTCCAAATCTGGGTGCTTTTGAGAGTGTCAGCAATGTTTGTTTGCTAAGAAACACTGCCAGCTCTTTCAGCCACCCTGGTGGGACTGGCCTGGCTCCAAGCAGCCTGGATGAGGTCATGAGCTCTGGAGTGACTGGATTCAGCATCTTACCTCTATGGAAACAGAACCTCACAATAGGACGGACAACAAACAGACATCAGGAAGAAAACACCTGGTAAGAAAATAGTTTTCTCTTCTTAAACCCTGCTCGTCATTGTATTTCCACTGAATGGCCTAAACCTTTCAGTCCTTCCCCCTCTCCTCCATTTTTTGCAAGGGATCCAAGGTAGCAACAGTGAGAGGGTGTAGGATAGTGGAGGCAGAGTTAGTGTCTGTACTGAAGTCACTACTACACAGCTGTGAAATTCTTTGTGTTTCACAGGTGTTTATTCATTTTTGTTGTATCTTTCATCCCATCATTTAAGCTGGCTCCTTCCCACATCCTATCTTTACCTCTAGTCAAAGCTCAGGAATTCACAAAACCTGATTATCAGTGTGCTGTTTCATGTGCTGTTTCAGGTCTGTGTCCAAATGAAAAACTTGTAGATGAGTTGTAGGCTAACTTTTCAAATGTCTGGGTAGTGTGCTGTGTGATTCAGCACCAATAATCATTTTGGTGCATATGTAATAGAAATATTTTCCTTATTTTTAAATGAAGAACCAGATTTTTAAAATTACATGTCTAAATTAATCCAGCAGATCAGTGTGAAAACTCAGTTGAGGAACTGTTTCTCCAGGCACAGAGGCTTTGTATCACAGAGCATTCACTATTTATTAAGATTGTATAGGTCTTTTACTTGATTCATAAATCTCTAAGCACAAGATAAGGCTATTCGGTTATTTTTAACTAGTAATGTACTATCATAGAAATCTTGTAAATCACTTAAAAGTTTGACGTAACCCTCTGTGTTTTATTTGCAGTTACAATACAGAGCTGTAGGAGAAAATAAAGGCAGAGGAAAAGGATTGCGTAAGGAATTATTTACAGCTTTATCACTTACAGGCTTTTTACCTAAATATAATAGCAGTTCTTGTAGCTACAACAGCAGTGCCTCGAGAAGGAATAATTAGCTAAGCTAGTCATCAGCAAATGAATAGGCTTGCATAAATACTAAGCCCACACTCTTTGCTTTTGCTCAGTCTGGCATCCTTGAGTCTCAGTGTGCCTGACTCTGAACCAGAGGAGGGGAGGACGGCAGGCCTGTGTGGTTGCCGGCTGACATTGGTTTTGGGAGGTCCTGTTCCCCTACATCAGTTTCTCTGGACTTCCAGAGAAGCACCACCAGCTTATGGCAGCAGTGTTGGCCACACAACCACTGGGTGCTGTTTAATTATGCTGAGTGTCACTAACAGAACCGGCCACTATAAAATTTTATCTTGTCTTTGCATAATATAGGTGCTCCATGCCTTAGGAGACTGGAGCAGGTATGGCTGATCCCACAGGCGATCCAGAGTCAGGCAAAGACATGGAAGATCTGACAAAAAGCTTGGAGGAACTCTGTGAGAGCTCTAAGGAGCAGAGTGAGGAGGTGCTACCGCTTTCACACCTAGAACAGCATCATCATCTTTTCTCTATGCTGAAGAGGAAAGCACACAAATGCTGTGGAGACCTAGAGCAGCTCAACATGGAGCTGGAGAAACTGAGGGGAGAGGATGCTGTGAAAATTAAAACCCAGACCCAGCGTATTCAGTATTTGGAGAGGCGCTTCATGGATCTGGTCAAAAACCATGAAAAGATGATCCAGTTCAAAAATGAACACATAAAACAGCACATGCAGCTGTGGGAGGAGAACAAGCGTCTGCGGCAGGACAGGGAAGCACTCTTCAGCCAGGCTGTGAGGGAGAAGGAAGCTGAAGTGCTCTGGCTGGCAGGCCAGACCAGGAAGCTCTCACAGCAGTTATGCTCCTTGCAGGAGAAATATGCTTCTGAGAGTCACAGAGCCCAGGAGTGAGAGAAGGAGCTGCTGGAAGCTCAGAGCCAACAAGCAGATGCCTACACCCAGGAGGTGGATTCACTGAAGAAGAGCTGCAACTCCTACAGGAGAAGCACCAACAAGATGCAGCAAGGGCTGAGCAGGCAGAGTCAGCAGAGGGCAGTGAGCATCAGGCCAAGCTGGAAAGAGAAAGAGCAGCTACTGAACCTGGCCATCTTGAGGAGCAAAGCTCTGCAAGATAAGGAGCAGGAGATTCAGAAGCTGGAGGAGAAGCTGGAGACTGTGGAGGAAGCCATGCAGAGAGCAGGAAGGTGCCTCAAGAAAGAGGCAGCAGCAGTAGACAAAGATCTGAAGGTTCAAGAGCTCCAAGGACAGCTGGAACACAACAAACAGGTGTACAATGAACTCCTGCTGCAGTTCGATGCTTACAGAAAGCACAGTATGGATTTGCTGACTAAAGAGAGAGCTCTGAATGTCAAACTTCGTCACTTTGTTGCCTAACTGCAGTTTTTTCTCTGTTCTCCTCTCAACAGGTGCCTCTGTGGTAACAAACCCCTGAATTTTGTTCCTCTCCATGGGACCATCCTCTAGTTTCTTTATACTGTCCTCACCAGCTTAAACCCTCTTCCACTGACAGTTCTGTAGCCTTTTTGTCATTATGCCTTTCTGAAAATAAATCACTACACTCTTAAATATGAACATGGATCATTGAACTAGTCAAACCTGTGACATGAATGATTAGGGTGGAAAACAAAATATGAATTTGATTTATTTAGTGCTAACCTCTGCTGAATTATAGGTTTGTTTGGTTGGATTTTATTTTTCAAGATAACCAAAAACCCTTAGCCTTTTGTATTTGATTCTGCTCTAAAGTTCAACAAAGGCCCTGAGGCTCCAAGAAAGAAATCCTACCTTGCAATATTTCTGCATTCTCTAAATTCAGGAACTTAACAGGTAATCCAATAATATCATACAACAACTGATTCTCAAGCAAATTACTTTTTATAGTTTTCTAGTAGTCCTACAGATTTCTGCAGTCATTTAAACCCTATTTAATGCCAGAGTAGTATTTATATTCCCATTCAGCTCAGAATAAATTGTCAAGTCTTTTGGATTATTTCAATCTGTTCTTTGGAATGGAACAATGTTCTAGATGTTCCATCATGGCTTTTTTCCTGTTTTTATCTGTTTCCTGCAGATAAATATTAGTGATACACTCTTCCATTTTGTGCACGTCTGGCAGCTTTTGACAATAAGAAAAATCTTTCCTGTCAGCACTGTGGGATCCAGAGACCTCCCACTCTCTCTTGCTGGTCTCCTAGGCAAGAAGGAAGATTTTTGCTGCTGAATTTCAGTCTGCTCTTTAAGTTTCCAACAAAAAAAAACAAAACCCAAACAACCCCCATGAGGGGCCACACAGCATCCCCCACGTGGGCTGTAGGCAGCTGCCTCCAGAGTTCTTTGCCACATGCTTATGCCTGGGGTTAACTCAAGAATTTAGGAAATGGATTGAGTATTTCTTGGTCCTGAGTATCTATAAGCCACAGCACGGTATCAGAGTTGTTATCTATTGAAGCCATTTACAGAAGTGACTGGAAGCAGCAGGTCTGGAGGCCAGTGACCAGCTCGTCTCAAGGACTGGCTGAACCAGATGTGGTTTCTGGCTCTGGTACAGGCTTCCCAGAGGAGCTGTGGATGACCCCATCCCTGGAAGCATAAAGTGTGAGGTTGATAGGGCTCTGCGCAACCTGGTCTAGTGAAAGGTTTACCAGCTCAAGGCAGGGGGGTTGGAACTAGGTGATTTTTAGGGTCCGTTTCAACCCAAACCATTTTGTGATTCTGTGATTCTGACTCTACAAAGCAGCAGCTGCTAGCAGCCTTTCTTCTGAGCTTCTCTGGACTGCCCTTGAACCCAGGCAAAGCCAAGGTGAGAAGTATTGCTGTACTATCTGCTATGTGGCAAACCACAACACTTCTCCTGATCCTGGTTCCTGCAAGTGTCGTTCCACAGGTGTTTTATGGACCACATTCTCCTACTTTTTAACCATATTTTCCTGCTCTGAGGTGCCTACCCCACACACACACATTTGGTTAATCTCAGTGCTGGCAGCTACAGTGTAAAGCCCAACTGACTCACATTACACACTGTGCTCTTGGTCTGAGAGCTGGCTGCTCTGTTTGAACTAGTCCATAGGCAATGAGGAGCACCTGTATCCCTCTGGTCACTGCAAGGAACCCTGAGACCAGGTGCCTAAATACTCTAAATCTGGGCAGAGGACACTCGCTCGCTTGTGTGACAGAGCAGCCCCACAGGCCTCTGCCCCAGCCGCAGCCATGGGGTGTGGAAGGAAAGACCCCCCATTCTGCACTCTTCAGGGACATCCCCCTTCCCACCCGTGGGCAATGGCTACGTGTGAGAGACCTTCCCCCTGCTGCCTCACACACAAACCCCTTGTCACTGCCCCATTCCCTCCTTCTCTCCCCATCACTCACACACGCCCCTCCTGCACACCCACATCCATTTCCTACACACCTCTCATCACCCAAACCACACAGGTCTCCCCTCACACCTCCAGGCTCCCATACCTGTCACCCTGCTGCCCACAAAAATTGGATTACCTGGTGTGCAACAAGCCAATAATTACATGTGTGACATTAATTTATTTCAGAGTTGCACAAGCCTGGGTGCTCGGCGGTATTCCACAAATCAAACACATTGACTATCAAAACTTTTTACTATTTATATGTTTTAGCAAACAAGGGAATTGGTGTTACAAGCTAAAAGTTATCTAGTTATCTTATTAATTTGTATTCTCTCACTTGATGGTTCTCTCTTGCTCATTAGTCTGCATGCTCAGTCTTTCTCTTTTTTTGGGGTCGGTGGTCCATGAGTTGGTAGGTGGGATATCCCCCTGCTGGAATTATATTTTACCCAGTCGGAACTGATTCAGCACAGTTGCCCCGTTGGGTTTATTAATTTATTCCTTATCGTGGGAGTTCTGCCCGCTGTCCTTGTGGCCCGTCAATTCTGCATTCTTTGTGTCCGCTATCAGCAGTACATCCTTCTTCCCTAGCTTCGTTACCCTCCCCCTAGGTCTGAGGTCATTGAAACACGTTGAGCCCTAGACCTTAAGAAGGCAATTCCAGTGACAATTCATTTGTCCTTCTAACCCCTGGAAATCCCTTAGAGCTCATTGGCTGCTCCCTGTTTCATGGATCTCCCTTCTCGTTGTTTAGGTTTGAAAGCACACAAATGTCAAAGAACATTCTCTCTCAAGAAAATCTTTACCTATGCCGCACTTGGTAACATTTCCCCCCTCACCCCCTCCCTCATTCCCAGAGGCCGCTTTCCCGCGCGCGGGCGCAGTCGCGAGGCGCTCCCCCCGCGCCGCTTCCCGGCAGGCTGCGCGCGGGAGCGCCGGGCGCCGCCCGGGCGCCTCGGAGCCGCGGCGGCAGGAGAAGGAGGCCGAGGCGCCCGGCGGCCCGCTGGAGGTGTGGGAGCAAGAGGACTGGTTCCCGGGGCTGGAGCTGGGAGACCTGCTGGAGGCGGCCCGGCCGGACTGGGACCTGGACGCGGAGCTGAGCGACTGCTTCTGTGGGGAACCGGAGCCGCTGCCCGCGCCGGGCAAGGGCCCGCGGCCGGCGGCGCCCGGGCGGAGGAGCGGCGGGGCCGGGAGTCGGCTGAAGGCGGCGGCGGCGGCGCGGTTGAACCGGCTGAAGAAGAAGCAGTACGTGCTGGGGCTGGAGAGCCGCCTGCAGGGCCTGGCTGCCGAGAACCGGCAGCTGCGGGACCGCAACCGCGGCCTGAGCCGCCGCCTGCGAGAGCTGGAGCGGGAGAGCAGCTACCTGCGGGCTGTGCTGGCCAACCAGAGCGCGCTGGGGCAGCTCTTGAGCCGCCTGGCCGGGACCCGCGCCGGCGGGCTGCAGCTCAGCACCAGCCTCTTCAGGGACACGGGCAGCCGCCAGCAGCAGCAGCAGCTCCAGCCCGCCGGCGAGAGCAGCGACCACGACTACGCCCTGCCCAGCTCCCGGCCCCGCGGGCTGGAGGAGGCGGCGGCGGTGACTGAGACCGAGGAGGAGTGGGCGGCCCCCGGCGGGATCTGCCTGCACGTGGACCGGGATCAGGTGTCGGTGGAGTTCTGCTCCATCTGTGCTCGGCGGGCAGCGGCCTCCTTCAAAATGTAGGGTCAAGTACCTGCTGCAAGTACTCGTGGGGTTCTCACCCGTCAGGGCCTCGCGTCGCGGCGGAGGAAGCAGGCGATGGTGCGGAGGAAAAGAATCCATACAGTGGTGATGGGGTGGTATTGGGGGAGATGCAAAGGAGGGGAACCTGGCGCTTACTTAAGTGGCCAGGGTAAGAAAAATTCTCTCGAACGGCATGTTGGGAGCCAGACGGTGGCCTTGGTTTAAGGTCCTGTAGATCTGGCGTGTGGACGGTAGTGGTGTGAGCCTGCTTGGCGATGGGAGTCGCGCAGAGCTGCGTGCAGCAGTGCGACAGTGGTCGTGCAGACTGACGCGCGTGGTGCACACGCGGAGGTGCCGCCAGAGCCCGTTCGCAGCACTTGGGTGAAAGATCATGCCGGCTTGATGCATGAAGGTGTGCTCGGCTCCACTTCGCAGTAAAGATAATGCTGACTACCCGGTCTTGAGTCAGATAATGTCTAGCCTGCTTATCCTGAGGAGCCGAAAATGCTTGCTTAGAAAACCAAACAAAAACTCCATTATGACATCGTCACTGGACAGACTTAAGAAAATAGTAATGGTCGGCAAAAGAAAGCATGCATATGAAATTGTACTGCATCTCAGTTATACATTACTATTAAAACTTCTCTGACAGTTTCTCTTTTAGGTGGTTGCCCTGCCAGGCTCCGTTGTGTAGGGGTTAAAGAACAGTCGTTTCCCACCTCGCAACCTGGTAAGGATCAATATATTCCCATAATGTGGTATCAGACAGCTTGCTTTGCTTATCCCAGTCTCTTGTAATGACTGGTTCAGAAAATTATTTTTCTGTCCTTGGCCTACTCTGCCAAAATGATTCTAGCTCTGGATGACAATTTATAGCAAAGGTTACAATCACATCAGTCTCATTAGCTGTTTTCCTTTTTTCGTTTTTGAAACAACTACACTGGTTACATAGTAGCCAATATAGCAGCTACATTTTGAATTTTATAAAAATGCTCATGCATTTGAAATAGAAATTTCCTATTTAACCAAGTATCTGATGAGCAGAAAAAGGAAAACATGCTAATAAGGGGGATGTGACACTTACTGCCTTTTATTACAGGGGATTGGCCCAAAAGTCTAAGTAAATTGCTTTTTGAATGAAAAAAAGGAAAGGAATTGGTGACCTGTTGGTTTAAAATGCTGTCTAGTATTAGGGATGCACAGTACCGTTCAAAAGCCCTTCTCTACTTGCTCTAATTCACAGTGCAGAGTTTTACCTGATGAAACAGCCTGAGCACTGGTTAAATCACTGCAGAGGAATCCTCACATAGAGGAGTTGCTCTTGCATGGACCTCTGAGGAGAATTAGGTTTGAAGAATCAGTGCATCAAAGTAACTCATTACTTTACCTTCCCATGAGTAAATCTCTGTGCCCAGGCACACTGAAATTCCTGTGTTACTTCAGAGTAGCTTTACATTTTAAAAATATTGCATGTATATGCATGTGCTTAACTCTACTGTAGAGTTCTTAATTAAGCCTCTTACAGTATCCAGAAATCTATAACCTGACATAATTATAGCACAGTTTGGAGATAAGGAAATACGTATCTTGAGGCTAATGATAGGAAAAACGCTCCATAATTGCTCCTGAGATAGGAGGAGAAATAGTTTGACAAAAAAAATAGTGTGTGTTTTCTTGTAGTAGTCAGTGTTTCTCCCTGTCACAAAAGATGAGTGGGTTCTTTTTTCAGTTGTATTACAATGTTTAGGTTGTTTAAATGTATGTCAGTTGGGGGAAGAAGGATTGTGAAAATGATAATATGTAAAGTGAGGTTTCACAAAGAATACTTTTCTAAAACAGATTATTTTTTTTTAATTATGCTATTTAGTGTTTTTGAAGTCTTGTTTCTTAAAGCCTTAAATTTTGTGTTTAAGGCTAAGTAGATGAAAGCATTTCTCTGAGTCAGTTGCTTCATTGGTGCTAGACCTTGTCATGTGTTCATCAGTAGAAAAGGAGTTTGATTTTTCTTTGTGAAACATCACTGTGTGATAAAGTATATGTGTATTTAGCATCCTTGTTTTTCTTTATGCTAAAGTGGATTCAGCTGTGTTGGGGCAGAAGAGACGGGACCAGCTGCTGGCCACATTTCCTGCTTTATTTTAAAAGGTAGTATAAGAAATGAGAATAAAGAGGTAACAGGGCGTTTGCTGTCTTTGGTTAAAAAAAAGAAGTTGAATTCTGGGGTTATTTACTGTCATCCAAGATGTTTTTTTTTTTAAAGTCAATAGTCTGTCAAACAGGTTTTACTCCACTGTATGCAGAATTCCATCTGTTCAGGGGATATTGCCAGCACAAAAGAGACTTAGTGGGATATGTGTGACCTTACACCTCTGCGGTGGCATCAACAGGGCTGTCCAAAGTTTCAGCCTTAACTTGGGTAACTCTGCTGTAACTGATGGGTTATACCAGTGAACGGGAGTCAGAGTTAACCACCAGGGCCTGCACTGACTGGTATGCAAAATGGAAATAATTTAGATTCAGCCTAATCTCAACCTGCCTAGCTCAGACTTCATGAACATGCTTTATTTTTCAGTTTAATGTGCTTGAGGAAAAGAGAAACACTAATGTAGCAAGCATGGGATGTTCCAGTGGCATTTTTATGGTTACTTCAGTGTAGGAGTGTTTTTAAGTTAATTTAAATATGCATTCTTTCTTGTTGCATCACTGCTGAATGGCAGGGTCAGGGACAGTTCTGGCCTCTGCTGTGAACCTGCACAATGCTCTGTTGTGACACGACCTGTGGCTGTGTCTGAGAGCAGCTGATTTTCTGACATGCAAAATGATATATTGTGGTACAAGAACAACAAGGTCAAGTCCCAAGAAAGTCAGTGGCTGCAGGCATTTCTAGTGCCTACTGAATCATATTTAAACCAAATAGAAGGGAGGAAGTTATTTGAAACTAACCAACTGTACTATCTGTATGGTGTATTATTAATGTAGCTTTTTGAAGTGAAAGCCTTGAAATGACATAACTTAATACTTGAAAATATATTGTAAATGTTTCTTTGTAATTATGTGCCATTCAGATGAGAATACAATATCATAATAAAATCAGACTTGTTGATCTTTCAGTTTATGGGCTCAAATGTTTTTTCATCTTTCCTTTTCATGAATGACTTGGTTCTTTTAACAAAGTGGTAAAACAGAAAGGGGAAAATGTTGCTGCTATCTCTGGGTCATCAACTGGAAAACACGATAAAATGGATCAGGTTTTGCAGGAGAAATGTTCTTGCTCTTCTGTCTTTGGAGGTAATTCTGTGGTGGGTGGGGACAACACAAAAGTGTTATTCCTTGAACTGCAGATAGAGCTGTACTTCTGAGAATCAGCACTTCTTGCATTTCATAGTTGTTATTAAGTTTTTTATTAATATGGATATGTTTGATCAGTATACCATGGAGGAGTAAAATAGTTACATAAACCCTTCTGTGGTTTATGGGCATCTTCCTCCTTTCTGTTCTGTTTTTAGGCTCTGAAGTTTCATGACTGGTTAATTACATTCAACAGCTGTTGAATCACAATCTTTGATCAAATTGCTATTTCCATTCTAAACACCGGAGTGAGTGATAAAAACAAAAGGTTTGACAGTGCTGAAAGGACAGAACATTTTCATGGCTCTGGAGTGGGCCATGCACTGTATGTTCACATTTCTGTTCATCTTAAATGCTTTATTTGCAGAGGACAGTTTAAAATAGTGCACTGGCTTGCTAGCATGAGGGGATTCTAGTGAAAGTGGTCTGCAGCTTGATAAAAAGGAGAATTTCACAAAAAATACTGCATAAAAATGTAAAAGCATACTGGTATGCTCTGCCTTTTTGACCTCTAATTGTAGAAAATAATCCTGTTCAGCAGTGAAACGTGTTTGGTAAATTGTATGTACCACAGAACCAAGTGCTGCCAGTGTTCAGCTGCACAGCTGTGCTACCTGCATTTACCCTTTTTTTCTTCTCAGCAGAGTCACTTGAAGACTATTCAGCATTTAGATAAGAAACAATTTCATGCTCAGTTCTCCTTTAGTCCTTTGGAGTTTGATTCTGGTGCTGTGACTCTTGGTAGTATTCTAAATTAACTTCTCTTTCCTCTGACGAGCTTTGTAGCATCTGGGAGTTAAAAACAAATCCATGTTTCTGTAATCTGTAGCTGCCTGGAGAGATGATGATATCAAAGGAAATGCAGGGAGCCATGTTCCAGCACTTGGCATTTCCAGATAATCAGATTTCTCATGCCATTTGTCAAAACTGTAATCAGTTCTCCCTGTGACACACATGGATCTTTGGCAAAATCCAAAGGCCCTTTGTACATTTACTGATTTTTGAAATGCTGTGTTTTCTAGAGTTTGTAGTTAAGGAGGTTTTCTGCTGGAATCAGCAATATTCTGGTTATTGGGCTGTATTACTATTAGTTACACTGTAAAATGTCTGAAGGATATGTTAGGTGTGGGAGCTGTTCAAATGGACTCTGTTTAAACAACACCCTGTGCAAAAATTGCACATTACCAGCTGCTGATTCTACATTTTCCCACCCAGTTTAAGTGGGATATGCAGATGTAGAGAAATAACTCTGCCTGTGCTCATTAGCAGGAGGATGCCAAGGGCAGGAGTTGTACCAGGAGGATTTGCAGAAGTAGAATACATTGTAATGTGGAGACAGCATTTAGAATGGTGCATCTACAAGAAAAAAAGTGGAGCTTTTTTAGTATTTCTCTTGGCTCTTATCTGTAGCTATTCTTTGCATTCTTTTGGCCATAGTTGAGACTTGCAGTAGCCTGAAGTCCTTTCTGTGGGATATGGAGCCTGTGCCTGTGCTTGTTTCCACTACAATGGTGGAAGAAAGGATCCAGCTAACACCTGTTGTCACTCAGTGTTTGTGGGGAGTTTATTACAGTTGCCAGAGGCCGAGGACTGGTTCTTGGGGGTTGTAGGAGATAGGTCATCCTGTGTATGAAACAGGATTGGAAGGAACATTCCCAGATTCCCACGTAGACACTCCTCCACACGCATGCATGTCAAGTGGGATAGTATCTTGGTGTCCTGTGTAATTCTGAAACAATTTCAGACTTTATTGGTTGACTTCTGAGAACACTGCTTCCCCTCAATAGATTGAGAAGTACAGAGGATGTAACTGAAGTTCCTTGTTCACAAACACACTGACTTCCTAGTCTCAGGAGTGTTCAGCTGACCTTTGATGTGACTAGTGCTGAACACGTAAAGTACACGCCTCCAAGCTGTGTGTTCATCAGTGATGCTGGAAAAAACTATCAGTCTTTGCAACTTACTAAAAATGTTGAGGAATGTAGCTTTTTTTTTTTTTTTTAAATATACAACCTTCACCTTTCACTTCAAGAAACGAGTATCTAAAAGGATGTGGTTTGCCCAAGTCAGACCACTAAACATCAGAACACGCATTTTGGTGACTGAGGATAATTATCACTTCAATTTATACCAAAATAAAAGTAGTAGTATATGGAAGGGAAGATCCTTTTGAATCTCACCCTTTAATAAGCAGTGGAATCTGTTTAGAGTATTTTAACTATATAATGTTAAACATTTGCAATAAGCATTGAGCCAATCATTGTCATGCTTCAAGATACTATTGCACAATAACACATTTATTTTATGTTTTTATTATCACAGGTAAGTGGTTCTGTTGGTTTAAGTCTGATGGCTTCCGGAGCTATGACAATTCTCTGTCATGTAAAATACTTGGTCCATGGGAATCTCCAGTCGGGGTGATTAAGGTAAGGCCAAGCTGTCTGGGTGCAGACCAGGATGGGAAAACCACGTCACACAGCAACACTGAATCAAGAAAACTGAATGATCTCTACCCGACAACAAAAGGGAGTCTGCATCGCTGCTGCTCCTGGGTATAGATAAAGAATGTGTCATGTTCCTGCTGTAATGACCCATTTTTAAGGAAAAGGTAGATAAAGATGATGAAACTCCTTCAATATATTTTTATCAGCATTACAGCATAAATTTAACCACTTTTAATTAAAGGTCTCAATGCTGAATTCTTAATTCTCATTAATAAATATTTCCATGTGCATCAGGGGATGCTAGAATTGTACTGAATTGACTGTTTGCCAATAACTGTACAGCTTTTACAGTTAGAGAAACATTTAGGTTTGGAAAAGACCCCCAGGACCATCGAGTCCAACCTTTCACTCATCACCAGCTCCTTGACTAGACCATGGCACTGAGTGCCACATCCAGTGGTTTCTTGAACACCTCTAGGGATGGTGACTCCTGCCACCTCCTGGGCAGTCCATTCCAATGCTTAACAAGCCTTTCTGAAACGAAATTCCTCCTGATGTTCAACCTGAAACTTCCCCAGCAGCATTTGAGGCCATTTCCTCTTGTCCCGTCATTTGTTCCGTGGGAGAAGAAGCCAACCCCCACCTACAGCAGGTTAAGGCCATACAGCAGATTGGGAGTATTGCTTCTGTAGAAGAATTCCTGAATTGGCTCTCAGACTGCAGAATACACTAAGGACACCTCAGGCAGTAGGAGAGCTGCATTTTATATTGCTCTAGAATATACAGCCACCAATGTGAAGACACACCCAACTCATAAATGTATTACTCTGGACCACAGATCTTGGATGTAGGCGAAATAACCCAGTAATGGCACCAGCACTCAAAGGCCTCTCACACACCCCCATCCTTCAGGAAAAGACTTAATTTCAAGGCAAAATGGTTGCAAAGCCAAAGGCTGTTTTTTTGATATGCTGGGAAGCCTGACAGGACTATCACTCCTGATTGCTCTGTGATAAAAGTGTTCTCTACAGTGTGACCCATCCAACAGTGTAAAAGAGGTAATCTTGTGACAAAAGTGTTGTTCCAGCAGAATGGCAAAAAGGGAAAAAAAGACTCAGATTTTTAGTAGATCTCTAGTAAAACCTTGCCTTGAGCTTCCCCCTTTTGGTTGCAGGTTTTTTTGGGTTTTGTGGTTTGGTTTTGGGGTTTTTTTGGGTTTGTTTGTTTGTTTGTTTTTTGGTTTTGTTTTTTTTTAAATAAATCTCTATGGTTTGCATTATGATGGAAAAAATCTCTTTTTCAAGAATACTGATTTTTTACAGCTTCTAAAAGTTGTAGCATCACCTTGGAACCAAACATTAAGCAGGAACTATAACTGCTTTATTTACTCCCACTTCCAAAGCAACACACCTGTCTGCTATTCAGGTGTATACACTAAACTGGGCATAATGAAAAGTTTAACCTGCATTTAAGTTCAAAACTTAAAAAAAAAAGCCAGTGTAGAGACTGTTTTTGTATTAAAAAGACACAGCAACACTTCTTTTTCTTGTTTATTATGGTTATTTATCCAAGGCAATTGAGAAGTTGCTTTACTTCATTCAGGTAGCTCTTCAGGATCCCTGCTACTGTTCATCTGCAGCAGCATTTTGATATATATCCCGTGCTGTTTGGTGGCAAGATATAATCCAGTCAGAGCCTGTACCAGTATACCCAGACTCATCTTTCTAAAGACAGGCTGGGAAGTTGTGAGCCAGTAGCGTAAGAGATTTTCTTTCCCTGGCAAGGGAGTTGACATATACCTAAACAACAGAAACAGTGGTGGAAACTTTTTTTTTTTTTCCATGCAAGTGTCAAGATTTAACATAAATACTTATGTAGATAGTAATTTTTTCTCACTTCTCCTATGTTAAATTCACCTGGTGGCACTGAGGTCTCTGCATGAATGCTTTAAAACATCCTGACTGTGTGCTGGGTCTCACCACCCTTGCCTGCCCCTGCTGTGCTCTGAACTACACAGAATGACATCTGTCAGGGACTCTGCCTGCTGGGCACTGCCCAGGGTCACTGAGGTCTCCTGGCTGTCCAGCCACCTTCGGTGGTGGCAGGATGGCAGCCACTGCTACACCACTGCTACACACACCCAGGCACAGCCTGGGACACTTGGGAGACTCCTGCTAAACACAAGGGCTTCCCAATGGATCACTTTGCAGATCTCATTTCACTTTGGCGTAGCTCTTACAAATTTAATTTTGTAATTAGATGACCTTAATGTCTATCTCCTTCCACATCCTAAACATCTACAAGAAGAAAAGTGTGCACAGATCAAATATCTACAGAATCTACACTGCAAGCTGAACATTTAACCCATAAATACATTCCAGTCAATACGTTGCAGATGAGACGTACCTGGCTGCAAGGCTTGCGTTCAAGGGGATAGCCAGGAAAATGGGATAGAAACCACCCACAACAGCACCTACTAATCCTCCTCTGATCACAGCACAGACCTCACAGTTCAGCTGACCTGCATGGCAAACCATATTTCACTGCCAATGTCCACACATGCTCCACCACATCAGTTTATAGGCTGCGTGCAAGAACCTGAAAACAGGCTCTTGACAGAAACTTCCAAGCTGTACAGGTATGCAAAAAATTATAAAGGAGGACTGTTTAAAAAAACAACAACAAAAAACCCCAAAACAACAACAGAAATAGTCCCAAAACAAAAACTGAGACAAAACCAGAAACAATCACTCCCACTCCAACCTATGAGGAATTTTTCATTCGAAAGCTGACCTTCAAATGAAATTGTACAGGTGGGAGGAAAGTGAACGGCTTTGCTGCAGTTACTTTTATGTGACTGAGTGAAAAATGCTGAAAATAAGTAATGTGCAAAATAATTTTTTTTTTTAGAAATATATGTAAATATTTATAAATATATATAAATATGTATTTCCTTTCCCACTCCACTTTGAGAACTCACTGCTGTCCATTGCATTCTGTTTTTCAAACTTTGCTTTACAAACTGAGGTGTTTTTTAAGACCACAACAGTTAAGGAGCACTATTCTGCAAAGAGAAAAACTCTTCTAGTGTTACATTGTGTACAGAAGGCAAAGCCCTTTCAAAAAAAAAAAATAGAAAGGAATGAAAAGGTTTTTACCTGAAAATAAAGGGTCATGCACAAAAGCTTCATAAATTGCTGCTGTTGAGAGAAATGGAATAACAGCCATTGGCATAGCAGACACCAGGGAAGCCTTTCTGACATGTAGGATGCTCCTGAAGAAATTATTTGCTGCTAAGCCACATAAGCTTGAATTTGCTGCTAGGAAGTATTGTCCATGATTACAGAGGTTTCTGTAAAAGAAGGGACATTGTTTCAGCAACTGAGAACTCTAAAAAAGTTTAGTTTAGTCAACACTACATTCCTCTTCTGAAAATCCTGCAACAAGGGGTAAGAGACATAAATCTGGTGCAAAATGGAGAGTAACTACTTTCAAAAGCAGCCAGTGCAGCATCCTTTGTTATATACCTGAGTTTACACACACTTCAAGAGTGAAGTGACAGGTTGAGAAGCCTTTGCTACCATTTTTCCCCCCCATTATTATAGCTAATGGAAACTTCATTAAAGCTCTCCTAATAAGCATGTTTCTAAGGATAATGTTTTCTGAAAAGAAATGAGGAGATATCTATAGATATATATATATATATCTCGATATATATATAGATAAAGTATATAATTTTAAAAAGTCAAGTAAATCTACTTACTCTTCTACATTTTAATGTTTTGAGTAGTATTAAACACTATGGAAAGGATTTCAGAGATGTACTTGCTAATCTTGCAAAACTTAAAACACTAAAAATGTCAGACATCAAGGACACCAACTATTTCTTCTTTTGAATAGGAAAATTCAAATTTTACCTTTGCAATCACAGGCAGTAAAATACAGGCAAACATGTCAATAAATACAGAAGACTGAGATAAAAAATTTAGCAACATATTTAAGTACCCAAACCAGAGCAAATTAATGTACCCAGGACCAACAGAATCTACTTAGTGAGGTACAGAACTGCTACACTGCACAAAAGAAAAGGAAAGGAGGATGTAGAGTTGGGGTTTGGGGTTCTTTGTTTGTTTGAGCTCCCTCGTGTCAAACACAAGTGCTTGGGTAAACAGGAACTCTCAGTCTGACTGCAGTGTGCTTGCTCTTCCTATCCAGACATCAGTGAGCTCCCCTCTGGATACAAGCTGTAAGTCCTGCCAGTGACTGGCAGCTACTTCTTTCCAAGGCCCAGCAATCCATAAATCTAGAGTTTCTATCCAGAATTACCACATCACTACTGAGTATCTGCCTCCCCTGCTCTCCTGGGGAAGGAGGAGTTTTGGAGGCTGAACATGAGGGCAGCAGATCCTACACAAAGTTGCAGCCTTTGCTTCCTCACCTGTGTGGGGAGGCCCTGTGTTACTACCAGCAGTTTGTTTAGCCAGCCATTTAGTCCTATTTAAAAAAATAGAAATAAAATAAGCTTCTGATTACTCTTATTTCTAAAAAAATTATCCAAGCTGATACACACATGCAAATGGCTCGTAACAGAACCAGCTCAGGTCCAGTAAGGTTTTGCAGTGACATGCAGTATCACAAACCAAAAGGTCATTTGTGAGGCCCAGAAGGCATTTAGCTGGCCCTGTGCTGTAGAGAACCCTGCTGGTGAGCCTGCAGGACTCCAGCTGGCTCCTCCACCACCACCTGGATACCTTAGTCTCGCCTTCCTGAAACAGGGAGCAGTGCAGAATGAAATGCAGAAACCAGCAGGCTGATGCTCACTCAGTGAGCTGGCCCCAGGCCAGCTCTGCTGGACACAAGATGACTCCAGCAGAATCACATTTCAGTTTCCTAGAAAAATTTTTAGCTGTAGCACAGGACTGAGAATGCTGAGAGCCAGTCAGGGCTGATCAGCCATTGCAGAACCCTCAGCACCGGGGAGCACATGCCAGAAACCAGCTGAGCAGGACCAGAGCCAACACTCAAATAACCATATTGAAAAAACATAAAACAAGTCTTCTGTTCTGGACAATAACAAGCATCTTGACAATTAACTAATTTTGTAACTGCAAGGAGAATTTGTAATACAAGAATAAGGAAAAAGAAAAGCATCCAGGACTTGAAATCTTTGATACTTATCTTCATTTATTTTACCAGCACTTACTGATCTGCTTTGGGAAGCTCATTGAACATCTTTTGTATGATTTCCATCCGCTTAAACCTTTCCAAAATTAGTCTTTGCTGTGGAGAATCTAGTTCAAGAAACTCTTTTCCTGTCATCTTGAAGTTCTGGATCATAAGGAAAAAAAACCCATATGTAATCCAAGTTATATAGCCCCAGTATAAATCAAATAAACATTTAGACTCTTTGCCACAAATGCATTCCCTACTTTACATGGCAATATTCCAGGTTTAAATTGACTTAACTGTCAAATAGACCTGTAAGAAAAAGCCCCAACCAAATAAATCAGAAAGCCTACAGTTGCAATGGGTTTGTGTGGCAAGGTTTTGGTAGCAGGGGGGAATCAAGGGTAAATTCTGAGATGCCAGGAGCTCCCCATGGCTGACACAGTCTGTTCCAGACCTGCTGCTGGCCATGTCCATGTCCAAGCCCAACCCAACCACTACAGTGGTGGTGTGTGTGGGGAAGTTAAAAAAGGGTAAAAACTGGTGCAAAACAGCATCTGGAAAAGAGGAGTGAGAACATGTGACAGGAGCAGCCCTGCAGACCCCAAGGTCAGAGCAGAAGGAGCAGGAGGTGCTCTTGGTGCTGGAGCAGAGATCCCCCTGCAGCCCTGGGAGGATCCCATGCCAGAGCAGATGGATGCCCAGAGGAGGCCATGACCCCTGGGAAGCCTATGCTGGAGCAGGCTCTGGCAGGATATGCAGCTGAGATTCCCCTGCAGCCCCTGGTGCACCCATGGTGAGGCAGCTGCGCCCATGCAGCCCATGGAGCTCCACAGGGGAGCAGAGATCCCCCTGCAGCCCCGGGAGGATCCCATGCCAGAGCACTTGGATGCCCAAAGGAGGCCATGACCCCTGGGAAGCCTGTGCTGGAGCAGGCTCTGGCAGGATATGTGGCCACATGGGGAGAGGAGCCCAAGCTGGAGTGGGTTCCTGGCAGGACCTGTGAGCCCATGGGGAACCCACGCTGGAACAGCGACTGCTACTGAAGGAGTGACCCCTGTGGAATGGGCCCATTGCAGCCTGTGGGAAGGACTCCTCTTGGGGAAGTCTGTATAGAACTGTCTCTCGTGGAAGGGACCACACACTGGAAAAGGAAGAGTGCAAGGAGGAAGGAGTGGTAGAGACAACACGTGATGAACTGACGACAACCCCCATTCCCTGTCCGTCTGCACTTCTAAGCAGGAGGAGGACATAGAGAAAAACAGCAGT